TCGGTGAGTACGTGTAGAAGCGACCTGGCCTTGACGGCCTGGGATGGGATGGCTGGGGGGGGGGGGGGGGGGGGGGGGTGCTCAGAGCCAAGCTGGCGTGATAAAAGAAACCTGCTCATGTAGGATTATGCGTCCAAGACAATCTTGGAGATCTTGTGTTGAGGCGGCTGCCCAGGTGATTACAGGAATTTCCCCCGGAAATAGTCATTCTCCCGAGTACGAGGGACAGGATCCACATGAAAAAGGGGGTCACCGTTCTTTGGTTTGTTCAAAAAAAGCATTTTGAAGGACCGAAGGTTGACATGGAACTACTTAATTTCTTGAGCGATTCAAATTGATTCTCCATATGACCACCTCGGGGTCTACCAGTGAAGGGCAATATAGCTTTTTGGTGGTGATAACGTCGTCATGAATGATCTCAAGGTCACCATTTACCTACAAAGTGAATTAGCAGTTTGGCAAGCAGGCTCGTCTTGGTTGGTTAGGGCCTAGATTATTTGAATGAATTTACGCTTTGATTCCGTCAGCTATTCAGCCTATCTGCATTGTAGAATTATAACAAAGTACAGTACACATAGTCGATCCTGCCTGTCTTCTGTCTCTCAGCTGCTTCTCTCGCCCTAACTTCAGTAGCTGGAATAAGAAATAGATTGACAGCGAACGAATGCTCCCCGAGTACCACTTCTCAACAATGGCTATATTCTCAACCCAAGGAGAAGGTATTTTTCCTTTGCTAGTCGGAAAAGCAATGTTCTCCGGAAGCTGATAGGATATTCCTATGAGAACTTTCCAGGCACAAAGCGTATGTGATGCTATGTTCCGACGTCGAGCGGGGGATACTGATGCCTTCGCTAACAATGGGGACCAGACCAAGCAGCCTAAGGACAAAGCGCGTATCGGCGATGACAATTGAAAGAGAGAGAAGTCGTGAGGAAGATGATGACTGGGTATCTCCCTTCCTCGTGTTGAATATTGTCAACATGATCCGATGCCTCCATTGTCCCATCGCCTTCAACAGTATCGCTGAAGGCTGAATTAACAGCACTGACGCTAACAGGTGGTGCAGAGCGTGTGCAGAGTACTCGATACTACCGAGGAAACCGTCCCGGCCCGCCGACGTGGAGAGGGGTCTATCAGTGAGCCCAATGAACAACATATACCCGCGAGCGATGAAGATGAGCTCACACATCCAAACTCGGAATATGTGACCCGCTGGCCTTCAGTCCTGTTGCAAGACTGCGCCATGACTTGTTCCCCAGTTCTGAAAGACATTTTATTCCAAAGCTGGGGTTTTTGAGCGTTCGAGTCGACTCCGAATTGTCTGGTTCTTCCCCTGACAGAGCTTCAATCTGTTCAGATGTGTTTGAAGAGAGTTCCGAGTCCGACATGGGGTGTTGGAGTAACTGAAATTTTGGTGAGGTCGGATTCCTGGCGGGTTGGGCTATCCCCCATGGGCTGCTTGGAACTATTTTCGGCTCTTAAGCCGATAATGCGACTAGCTCGACAGAAATAAGCGTCCATGCAGCCAAGAGAGTGACCAGGCGGGGGTTAACTCGTCCAGCTAAACTGGCTAAACTGGCTTAGCTTCCCGATCAGGAAGCTCGGCCAGTGGTGTTGACCTTTGAGAATGGTCATTATGCCGGTTAATCACCGAAACTACATGTTGACTTTGGATACCACGGGCGTCCACTCGCTTGAGCTAATTACTCTTTTAATTGAATCGGTCGCGGATAAGTACATGTACCACCGTAGTCTCCAGTCATGACGGGAACCGCATCGCCTGTTTGCCTATAGCCTTCGACTATGCTTCAACCTTGAGTTTTGCAAATTTCTAGCCCCGTTAGGTCGGCCACTAACTCCTCTTTCCGCTGCGTTAGACGGCCAGCTTCACTGTGCTGGACAGCTGTATCTTCCTCGGTTATCACACGGCCATCCTCTCTGACACTATCCAGACACAATCATGCCGATAGCAAACCAACCACTCGAAAGGCTTCGAGCGCTGCAACAGCAGCTCTTCCCTCCGAGGGAGGAACCGCACGAACAGATGAAAATGTCAAGATTGAGTACCCCACCGACAGCGAGATGCCACCCCAGCCACCTATCCAAGGTCATGGGGGCCCGCAATTCAAACGTACACTAGACCAATTCTCCCTCGAAACCAGGGTAATTGTTGTTACTGGGGGTGCACGGGGACTCGGCCTGGTCATGGCGCAGGGGATTGTTGCGTCTGGATCGGAGGTCGCAATAGTTGATCTCAACAGTGAGCAACTGTGAGTGGTTTGTCTTCGGAGGTTCTTCTATTTCTTCTAACTGGGAATCCAGAGAAGGAAGCAGAAGAGCAGGCCCAGGCATTCGTTGATCAGTACATGCACGAGAACCCCGGTCTGAGAGAGTACGTAACCGCTATTCGAAGACCAGGATGAAAAACATTCCATCCTGTCGGAAGAATCTTTTCTCCAAGATGAAGCTCGTCCCGATAGGGGTTTTGAAGAGGCATCCTCGTTCTCGCAGTTTGTCGATGCAGTTGGGGAAGCCGGATTCTCACCGTCGGAAATTCTTGAAATTGCACGGCTGTTGGAATGGTGAGACGTCTCCCGGGTCCCATCATGTTGTTGTCTTTCAGCATTGGGGTATCTCTCATTTCCAACCTGCTCGTTTGATTTTGTATGATATGGTTTTTTATCCAAAGAGCTCGTTGTTGGATTTGTTTTCAAATATTGTGTCCAGGGCTATACGCGCATTTCTTCTACCAACTCAAGAAACATAGCAGTTATTTTCTCTTCCACCTCACTTCCGCGCCACGTTTCCCGATTCTCCATGTTACCCCCTGACTCCATGGCCGCGGTCTTAACCACCAGTCCAGGGGCAGTAAGAACCGGTTTCATCCTCAATCCTTGCAAAATGGCTCGCAAGTGATCTGCCGCCTTTCCACCCCCTCTGCCTCCATATGTCACAATGGCAGCAGGCTTACCTTTCCATTCATAGAACAGATAGTCCAATGCGTTCTTCAGGCTAGCTGGAATACTCCAGTTGTACTGGGGCGTCACGAAAATAAATGCACTATACCGCTGGACTGTAGCAGACCAAGATCGCGTGTGTTGGTGAGCGTAATGAGGCGTCGGATCAGCCTCTGGGAGGTGAGATGGAACACTGGGCTCATCATACAGGGGGGGCCCGTGATCGGCGATATCAAGAATTTCAATAGTCTCCTGGTGATTTAGTTGTGAAATCACGTCGAGGACGTAACGAGCGATAGATGGATTCACTCGTGCCTGCCTGGTGCTGCAGATGACCAGGGCGATTGGCGTAGATGTCATTCTTGGATTTGGTTGGTATTGATGAAGACAAATTGAAGTTAATGCTTACCAGAATCGAGGGAAATAGTCCCTTTAAAAATGATCCCTGGCTGGATTTAGGATCTGCGGCCAATGTGCACTCCGCGGACATGTCCGCGGGCTAGCTTACTGAAAGTAGAAATAATCTCCGCGAATTGCTCTGGTCGGAAAAAAGTTTCCAAACACCCGGCTCTTTGTTGAGTGCTTGCTATGCGCACAGGTGCAGAGCGAATGTTTGTCTTATTCTAAACTTGTGGTCCTTTGATGTTGTGTATGCCTAAAGGTTCTGGTCCTAGTCGCATTTTTCGTCATCCTTCTGGGGCTCATGCCAACCCAAACAGCGCAGTCGTCAGTGACATTAAGGCTGGCTTGGTAACGAAGCTCGCCATCCAAACAACATCAAGCCACGTCTCAGCAGATTCCGTAGGTATCAATGGGAACGAGACTATTGCAAAGAGGTGTGGCAACGGTCTCTGTGGTCTTGGTAACAGTTATATTCGACAAAACCATCCTTGCATATGGAGCCTCGATCCCCATTTTGAAAGCACTTCCACAACTTACCGTCGCTCTTCCTGTACTTCGTAATGTAGTAGCTGATGATAATGGCAAGGGTACAAATCGACTTGGACTTGGTCTGAGTGGCCAATGAGGATGCTAGTTATACTTAAGTAGAAAGTGAAATAGAAAACGGAGAGAGCGGAATAAAAAATGCGACCAATAGAGATATTGCTCAAGGTGTCGCATTATCCAAAGGAGTGTCATACTATCCGCGAGGATGTCAATGCATCAATCCCCCAGAAACAAGTTCCTTTGATGGAGGATTATATTGGCAAACAGCGCTAGTCCATATCTGTCCTTAGCGTTCATACCATCCATGGTTCTCCGCACATGCCACCCTCGGCTATCCTCGCAGATAGGCAATCCCGACGATAACCGACCCCGCATATTCTCCCCCATACTACAACAACGACATTCCCAACATTGTTCATTTCCTTGTTCACAATCACACCCTTTCCAAAATGTCGATTGCAAATCTTACACGCAATCTGAGGCTTCTGGGCAGAGGAGCTCATCGGCGACCAATCCTTGCGGGAGGACACGTCGCCGCACGATGCAGCAGCACACTGTCACAACGGCCAGGATCGGATAGGTAAGGAGCAACCTCAAAGACAGACGATGAGAAAACATACCAGCTAACCATATGGCAATTTCTCCAGTGTACGGTTCCCCGGTGCCGTTAATAGCAAATTCACAACAGATTTGTCTTTTCTTAAAGCTTCTGATCTTCCTGCTATCCCTACGTATCGAGTAATCGACTCCGACGGCGAACTGGTTGATAAAACAAGGCCGGCACCGGATGTCACAGATGAGGAGGTCTTGACCTGGTATAAAAATATGCTTTCAGGTAGGAATCGATATGTTGGGATGATACTAGTGTTGCTAATAGCTTCAAGTCAGTGTGATGGACGTGGTCATGTTCGAGGCACAACGTCAGGGTCGTCTGAGTTTCTATATGGTAAACCACGCTATTCCACCAGTCTCTGAGCTGAATTTCGGGTCTAATCGTGTTTCTGCAGGTCTCCGCTGGCGAAGAAGGCATCACCGTCGGATCTGCTGCCGCCTTAACCCCAGACGATGTGGTTTTCGCCCAGTACCGCGAAGCGGGCGTGTTTCAGCAGCGCGGCTTCACACTCAAGAATTTCATGAGCCAGCTCTTTGCGAATGCCAATGACGCAGGCAAGGGCCGCAACATGCCGGTGCACTACGGACAGAATTACCCTCGAATGGTGAGATATATTTCCCAATCTCGCGACGATCACGTTGTTGTTAACTCGGTCGCAGCATACTATCTCCTCACCACTAGCAACTCAGATCCCACAAGCAGCCGGTGCAGCTTACGCTCTTAAAATGCAAGATATGCAAAATCCCACCCGTGATCCACGTATCGTGGCCTGCTACTTCGGCGAAGGCGCTGCAAGTGAAGGAGATTTCCACGCCGCACTCAATATGGCCGCTACACGATCGTGTCCTGTCGTATTCGTATGCCGGAATAACGGATATGCGATTTCAACCCCGACTCTCGAACAATACCGCGGTGATGGGATTGCTAGCCGTGGTGTAGGTTATGGCATTGACACAATCCGGGTGGATGGTAACGATGTTTTTGCTGTGAATGAGGCTATGAAGGAGGCACGTCGTCTGGCTCTAACTGATGGTGGACGCCCCGTTCTGGTTGAAGCTATGAGCTACCGTGTTTCGCACCACAGCACCAGCGATGATAGCTTTGCGTACCGTGCGCGCGTTGAGGTCGAAGATTGGAAGCGCAGGGACAATCCTATTATTCGACTACGCAAGTGGCTGGAAAACCAAGGGCTTTGGAGTGAAGATCAGGAGAAACAGACCAGAGATGAGATGAGAAAGGCTGTACTAAAGGAGTTTGGCGAAGCAGAACGTGAGAAGAAACCTGCGCTACGAGAGGCTTTCAAGGATGTCTATGAGGAAGTTACCGAGGAGCAACGTGAGCAGATGAAAGACCTCAAGCGCATCTTGGAGACTTATCCGGATGAATACGATTTGCGGCCTTATAAGGATGGAGCGAATGGGTTGGATTGAGCAATTTACGAACGAAAACGCTAAGGTCTCTCTGCGGGAGATGAGAGAATCAAAATAAATTTCAATCATATCGCTGGATATGCATGGTTACAAATATGAATATGATCATCGACTTCAGGTTTGGAAGCAAACATTCATTTAGGAATGTTACTAGAAGGCAAATCTGTATTCATATAAGCTGTCTAACAGTCTTCACCTAATGGACCTCGACACATTCCGACACAGTCCTGCACAGGCCTTGAGCCTCGAAGATTCCACGGTTTTTGTCAATGGCCAGTATGACCCTTCCGCTTCACCTTCCTCCTTTGCGAAACGGCAACTGCAACTTTAGAAACGGAACTGAGACCCATATAGTTCTCATCATAAGTCAAATAGATAGCACCCAGCCCCATATTCTTCGCCAACTTGACAACAGTATTGATACTGGCATCAGCAGGTGTCTGGTTGAGAATGATAGCTTTCTTGGCATCATTCCCTTGTTTCGAGAGATGCTCAGTTGGCGCCAAAGCCATCCAATTAGCGTAAGTATTCTCATACTCGACGATAAAATCTGCAGCAGCAAACCAGTCCGCAACATCGGCTAGAATTTTCGCACCAGGGTTGAAAACAACCATATTCAGACCGCTTTCTTTGGTTGTTGAAGATAGCTCTTGGAAGTAGCCGAGCTTGCTCTGATCTTCACCATTGGGTGTAAGGTCGAAGAAGACTCCGGCAAGACTGATGTCCTTTCCGGCATAGTTGGTCCATTTCGCGTATGCGGCAATATCTTTCTCAACGTCTGACTTTGCGCGTGTGCCGTGGTTCGTATAGGTGTATCCCAGGACATGGGCGTTGGGGTAGCTATTCAGTTTGGAGATTCCGGTTATGTAGGGCTCATCTGGATACTCTGTTGCTCCTGGGCCGGTGTCCGGGTTGATAATCAGGTAGAAGGGAACTGACGGGTGCGCGGCGACTGATTGGTAGACGGTCGTCCATGCGTCTGTTCCTGGCCAGGCATATAGTGGCACAATAACGCCTGTTGATTGGGCTGTAGATGCCAGCGCTAGTATGGCACACAGGAAGGAAAGTATATGGAACATGATTGGAGATGTGTGGATGTAAATGAATGTAAGCTGTGTAGGCCAAAGCCCAGAAATGAATGTATAGAGATAACACTTACCAAGCAGAACTGGTATCGGGAAATGAGCGCATTATATACTCTGAAGGACAAGCGCAACTTCCAAGGGTCAAGAAGCCCTGAAGTCCGAGAGCAGTCTCAAGTTCAGTGTCCAGGCCAAGGGAAAGGACTAAAAGGAAATCAGCCACACGTCCGAGGCACCAAACATCTGACCCAAGAATAAGGTGTAATATTAGGGTCGTGAGGAATGAGCCAATGCCGGACTCATCGGAGGAATGGACTCAAATTGCTGGTCAAGATTCAAATGACAGGAATGTGGGCTTGAGACTCGGGGCGCCTATGGGAATGCATCGGCGGTTCGTGAGACACGTCTCATTCGAACCAGACGAGATGTCAGACTTGAGCGTGAACTTGACGCGCATTCGCCAAGTGAAGTTGGACTTGTCGGAACGAACGCCACCAGGATTCTACCCCTGACGCGATCGGATGTTTGGAACCATGTCCCGGTTCGTGTGGGCGAGGTATTTACCCCTTTGAGGGGCTGTGATATATCGTCTCCAATGACATATGAATCAAGAGCGAAGGAGATATGTTCTGGTTGAGTGCTACAAGCAGAGGTGACTGGTTAAAAACTCCCGACTTAGGGTCAATTGCCAAGGATTGAGAAAACAACCAACTGCGATTGCGATATCTGGACAATTGGGAAATTTTTGGAGAGATTACGGATTCATGCCTGGGAGTTTCATGAGAATTTTACATTGTTGATACATTGTAGTCCATACAGATAGAGTCCACAGATAGGTTACATATCCATCCACGATCAGGGTATCAAGATTCATCGGTACATATCAAAGATTACTCAGTCCACGTTGTACTCTGTACTCGGCGAAAGGTAGACCGAAACGAAACTCCGAGGGAGAGGGGGTTTACGCCTCCTCCGCTGTCGCCTTCGCTTCCGTCGCGGCCAGGTGCTCCAAGGCTTGGTGCTGGAGTCTCTTGTTCCGGCGGACCAAGGCATTGAACTTCTTGTCCAGTGATTCGGAATCCTTGCGGGCGGCTTCCTGCTCCATCTTGGCACGGGTAGCGTGTTCCTTCAGCTCTTCATTCGTCAAGCTAGCGAGGTCATCGAGAGTCAGATTAGTGCCGAGCATGCTGGGGTTGCCAAGCATTTGTTGAGCAGTGGCTGCTGCAAACGAGCGGACAGCATCGGGTGTGGTGTTAAGCAATTCAGCAGAGTTCGTCACGGCCCAGTCATGGTTGCGGGTAATGTCTGCTTCCATGGCAGAGAACACGTTCGGCGGAAGGGCGGACTCATCGATTTCCGGGGAGGTAGGAGATGTTGCGCTTGGGTTGGTGGGCAAGTCATCAACCCAGCGGATTCGCAGTTGCTCCGAGTTGGCGAAAAGCGCCTCCAGGCCAATGTTTTGAGCCATGTTCTCAATGAGCAGAGGGTAATCATGGCAAATTCCTCGTCGCTCTCTATCCAACACCCGCTCCATTTCTTCGGGTTTGAGATGGCGAAGCACTGTGCCTCGTGGGGTAATAAGCACTTGGTTCTTGATTTGATCTCCTAGTATGATGTGCTCTCCACGAAGTAACATTTGGCGATGTTCTTCGGTCAGCTCAATGGGCTGTCTATTGAGGTCATAATTCTCCGAAGTGCACTTCATGTCGACGCGTTCATAGATATTATGAGGGTTGAAGAGAGCAGCGTTATTCAGGTCGATTTCGCCGTCTCGGTGCATGTCGGCAAGAATTTCGTGGAGGGGCCTCAGTCGTTCCATGACGAGCTCATGTATGCTCCTTCCAGTGGCTTCAGCATCCGCAATGCACTGCCCGATAGTGTTATTGGTATGCCACGCCTCCTCGGGTGCCTCTTCTGGTTGGGCTGGCTCTTCGACTACAGGAGAGCTAGGCACTTCCACAGGCTTGGCTTCCTTGGCTTCCTTAGCTTCCACAGTCTCCGTTGAGATATTAACCTCAGGCTCATCCTTGACAGAAGGAGAAATGTCGGGTTTCTCAGGGCTAGCGGGCTCTGCGGCCGGGGGGATAACAGGTTCCACCGGAGCAGGGGCCCGCTTGGGGGTGCTTGTGCCACTGGCTGAAGTAGGAGCCTTCTTAGTCTTGCGCTTTCGGCCCATGATGGGTGCTTGAACCGGCTCTTCGGTCAATTGAGCAGTTTCGACTTTCTTGGCTTCGGCCTCCTTGGCTTTCTGCTTGCGCTCCTTCTTCACCTGACTCTTAGTCATAGACCGAACAGGTGCAGAGCCAATTCGAGATGAAGCAGGGGGAGAATTGGCACGCGAAGCAGAAGTAGAGGGATAGAAATCGGCTTCCGAGCCAGCATCGGCGGGAGTATCAGGCACGCTATTTGACGAGATGCTCTGTTGTCTACCACGAATCTTGTTCCCCCCAACGACAGACGCGGGAACAGATGGTACGGTCGGAATGGGGGGAGTTTCGACTTTCGGTGTTTCCACTACCCGCAGAATGCGAGGTTGACGGGGGGCAGGGGACTCGGGCAATCGAGATGCAATGGTCTGGGGTGTGTCGGGCCGTGAACCACTTGCGGCAGTCGAAGCAGAAGTCGGACCTTGATCGGGCTTGCCAGTACCAGCCAAGGCTGCACTGAATGCCAACGCAGTACCCTTGGTAGCATAAGGACTTGACTGCGCTTGGTTTGATTGAGAGGCTGGCTCTTTCGGATCGGTCAAGATGCTGAGCTCACTCTTACGCTGATTGCGAGCATGAGTAGCAGACCTTTGCACGGGCGATCCCAGTGAGACCTGAGAGGCGTCTTTGATACGGTTGGATGTCAAAGGGCCTCCGACCGTGAGCTCTGGGGTCAATGGACGAGACTGGGTGTCATCGCGGGATTTGGAGGGACTGTTGAGTCGTGAAATCTGAGGCGTCAGCCCTGGGGGCAGAATGGGAGCTGGGGAGGCAGGCTGCGAAGAGCCTATCCGGTCCTGAAAGGCCGAAGAGGAACGAGCTTGGGGCAAGGGGAGTCCCGGTGGCAGAGTAGGCGTATCCGCGCGGGCTGCCGACTCAGTTGGCAGCTGCGACTTTAGAAAGCCAAAGCTATCAACCGTGCGGAGATCATGGGGATGATCACTTAGGGGAGGGAAGTCCTCACTAACTGCAAATCGGGAGTCAGCAACATCCGGAAAAGGTGAGCATGTCGAAGTCAAGGTGGAGGCAGAGAACAAGCAAAACAACGACTCCTCGGTCGACTAAAATGATACAAAAAAGGGCCGCAGCTAATTACATGAAGGGATCGGGCAGGCACGTTGCAACGGGGCGTCTATGTCATCGGCGGCTGCAAAGAAACTGATTTCGAATAAGACCCTGTTTCGGCTTGTGATATCAGGGTAGGGAGATCTTAACGTACATTAATTGACGACACCATTGAAGGTCCTCAAGACGCAGCAGGTGGTATAACGATGGAGTCAAAAAAGGATTGGAGACATGAAGACATGAGAACAGAAGGGAATACACAGCCGCCGAAAACAAGACAGCCCCAGAGACATGCCGGTATGTCCATGAGATAAATGCAGGAGACCGTGGAACCGCGGGAAAACAACCGGGTACATGATGCAGAATCGCAGATAGCAATGGGAGAAATGAAAAGAAAAAGGCCTCAGTACGCCATGTGCAAGCCTGACCATCGCAGGAGTCAGAGCCACAGGTCTGACCACATATAAAGAACCATCGAAATATGCAGAATTGCAACAAAACAAAGAAGGGGTGTCGTGTCATCAAAAGAAAGCCAGGCCCATCAAGGGATTAGTGGCAAATGGGAGGAACAGCGAAACAGAAGGGGGAATGGGAATAAGTCGTGACAGAAAGACCAGAGTTCACCAGCCTCTCATGCCTCCACCATAAACCATCGAGGGATTGTACCCACCTTGACCCTGACTCCCGTACAACGATTGCCCAGCGCTAGCATTGGCACCGACCTGGTGCATTCTGGCTTGCAAAATGCTCGGGTCCGCAAGATCTACTACACCACCTCCACCGGAGGAAGTGTTAGCGTGTCTCTGCTTCCTTCCCTTCTTCTTCTGCTTCTGTTGACCACCAGAGTCAGGCATTACACCCGTCTGGGACCCGTAGAAAGAGCCGAGAAGGCCGTTGGCAGGAGTCATGGGGGGTGGGGTATTGTGCTGTTGGAGAAAAGGGAACATGAACTCACGCTTTGCCGCCTCCTGGCCCTGTAAACCACCACTGCCATTACCAACATTTGTGCCAGTTCTTCCGCGCAATAGCTCGCGCATCAATTCCGGTGTCGCATCTTGCTTCCCTCCATTGCCGCCAATGCCGGAGGTGAATCCATGACCCTGGGCGAACATACCACCGCCACTGATGGGAGGGGTGCCGGCAGTCTTCAAGCCCGGGGGAGGACCTTGCACACCACTAGCATAGAAGCCGCTTGCAAGACTGTGCTGAGGACTGGGGGCGGAGAGGGGGTTAGGGGACGCAGACTGCATCTGGCCTAACATGCGTGCGTTAGGCATGTTCTTCGATCCATTCTCATTGAAAGAGAAGCGAGAGGACTGTCGGCTTTGAGCTGCCTGCAGAGCGTTGATTTGTGCCATCTGGTTGTGAATAAGTCCTTGGCGAACTTGCGCGGCTTGATCCAGAGCGGCTGAGCTTAATGGGTCAGCCAGTCCAGCTTGCTGGTTTCCGGCAGACTTGAGCAGCATCAACTGTTGTTGCTGCAGGGGGGTCAAGCTTCTGCCAGCGAGGTTCAATCCTTGGAACTGATGGCTTGCCGTGGAAACAGGTGATCCGACGGTTGAGTTCTCGGCGGTGTCCTGCTGTGAAGGGGGCTGGATAGCACCGTGAGACTCACGAGACTGTCGGTCGCGTGGGGGATTGGCATCTTCGGGCTCGCCCCCTAATTGGAGACTGCCAGCTTCTCGGCTATCCTCTTCGGCCGCGACGTTCCGTAACAACTCATGCTCCCGGCTGAAACGCTCTTGTTCAACCTTTTCGCGCATGGCTCGGCGCTTGACGCCACCGAATGGATCGATGAATGAGGGGTAGTCCTTGATTAACTTGACTTCTTCGGCTGACAGCTCGGCCGTGCTAAATGAGAATCGGAAGTCGGGAGATGTGATATCTTTCAAGAGTTCGTCAAACGGCGTCGGTTGCTTCAGTCGTTGAGTGGTACGTCGAGGGCGTGGTGGGGGAGGAGATTGGGTTTCAGCCTCTGCAGGAGACTGTTGGGCTTCCGAGGCGGTTGGTGATGGCCTGTCCGCCCGTTTGGGTTCTTCGACTGGGGTGGAAACATTGACGCTAGCAGGGCGAGGACTGTTCGAGGCTTGACTACCACTGAGACTGGCTCGCCTGGTTCGCTGGATGGCGGCCGCATCTTTGGTAGCCCAGCTTGCGGAGGATGGGAGAGCCGGACCATCAGGGACCCCAGAACGACTGCTGATCGACTCGTCTTTGCTTGGTTGCCGGCGCATTGGATGAGAGATCGGCTGCACGGTCCGCACGTGGGAAGGAGTGGGTGGAAGGCTTTGGCGTGGAGTAGAGATGGTGTTCATGGAAGATAGATCCTGGCGACTGTAGCTGTCACTATCCTCCCCAGTTTCGTGGAGGAAGGTGCAGTTCCGGTTGTTGCATTGCTCGTTGCGAAGGAAGGAAGAGCAATATTTGGTGGTTCCGTATTGCGCTCTCAGGACCCGATCGCCATTTCCAGATCCGTCCACGGCACCAATGCATGTCGCTGCGTCGGATTTGCGAGAGAACGTCACATAAACCCCGATTCCCTGGTTGGGGTTACCGCCGGGCTTAGCCTTGCTGACCACGATCTTTTCGATCTCGCCGTATTGACCGAAATATTCCCGTCCACGCAGCGTTTGGAGGAGTTGGTTTTCATCGCGGATCGTAGGGTTCAAGCCAATAACGTAGACCAAATTCTTTTGGACAACACGAACACCAGCCAGATTCTTGCGACTCGAGGCTTCAATCTCCCGTCGCTCCGCTTCCTTCTTCTTTGCCGCGGCTGCCTTGCGGTGTTTCAATGCCAGATCTGCTTTGAACCTAGTTGGAGAAGGGTATTAGCTGGGTTGTGATGGAGAGAGTGGGAGGCAACTCACTCTTCGGCGTCAGGAATCTTGTACTGGATAGTACTATCATCATATCCGCGTCGACAGTTGGGACATCTACCCTCTTCGTTCTGGGTTTTGATGTTGTTATAGCAGAATTGACATATCTAATGAAAGATCAAACGTCAGCGGGTGCACATGCATGTGGAAGCTGGTTTGCTTCCAATCCTTTGGAAGACAAGCAACAGTAGGTCAATGCACTGGTACGTACCTGATACCCACATGGACAGGGTTTGAAGTTCTTATCGGAGAGATCGAACTCTTCGATGCAAAGGGGGCTGTGGGGTGATCAGTACAGAGATCGCGCGGGGTGGACCAAGCTTGAACGCACCAGAACTCATCATCATCGTCAATGACGGAGTCAATCAATGATGTACCAGACATGATCGCGAAACAAGTGTTAAGTATCGGGAAGACAAGATCTCAAATGCCGTTCGATAGGATCGGAGAAACTGAAAAGACCAGAGGGGAAAAAGAAAAATCACTCCCTTGGGAGGAAATAAAATGAAACAGGCGATTAGAGGAGAGGGAGGAAAGGAAAGGCGGAATCAAGAAAGATGGTTGATGGGAGGCGAGTCTGGGGGAGGAGGAATTTGAGACGCGGCTTCAATTTGCTCTGGCGCTTCATTTTGCTGGCATTACCATATTGGGCTTAGCGCATAGGTGTCGAGTCAGGTGACCGATTGCTGACCATCTGCCAGGCGGGTTTTCCTTCGACGTGCTCCCGTCCCCTCCACCAGTTGCAACAGCCATTGCTCCCTTTACATCATGGCCTCCACTCGCTCCTTGATGCGCCTGGGTTCTGGCCGCTCTGTGGCATCTGCCACAAGGTCTATGACCCGCACTTTCTCCTCGGCCTCCCTTCAGTATGCCCCCAAGGCCTCGACAGCACCAGGCCCGGAGCCTGAGAACATGCGCCAAGCGCAGCGCCCGCGTATGTTCCGCGAAACAATTGACATCTCTGCTTCAAAGTAATCTAACCGAGCTTTGTGGAATTAGCCCCGGGACCTCTGCGTGCCCCCGTCGTCAACCCTACCGACAAGTACCAGCCTATGGCCGATAACCTCCACACCTATGGACAATATATTATGTCCTGCCTTCCCAAGTACATCCAGCAATTCACCGTCTGGAAGGACGAACTTACCGTGTACACCGCCCCGGCCGGTATCATCCCCGTGATGAGCTTCCTGAAGAACCACACTGCCGCCGAGTTCACCCAGGTCTCCGATATCACTGGTGTCGACTTCCCCACCCGCGACCAGCGCTTCGAGGTTGTCTACAACCTGCTCAGTGTCCGCTACAACTCCCGCATCCGTGTCAAGACTTACGCGGATGAGGCCACCCCCGTTCCCAGTGTCACCGGTCTCTACGAGGGTGCCCTGTGGTACGAGCGCGAGGTGTACGACATGTTCGGTGTCTTCTTCTCTGGACACCCTGATCTGCGCCGTATCATGACCGACTACGGTTTCGATGGTCACCCTCTCCGCAAGGACTTCCCCTTGACCGGTTACACCGAGCTGCGCTACGACGAGGAGAAGAAGCGCATTGTCATTGAGCCTTTGGAGCTTACCCAGGCATTCCGCAACTTCGAGAGCGGTTCCACCTCCTGGGAGCCTGTGGGTGCTGGTCAGAACCGCACCCCCGAGTCCGTAAGTGATATTCTGCCCTCCGGTTTTAGTTCCATTCTGACCAACCCGTACAGTTCAAGCTTCCCACTCCTAAGCCGGAGGAGAAGCCCGAAGAAAAGAAATAGAAGCAGTCTGTATGCGTATCATTTTATTTGCCATGTCTCTATGTACATATCCGTCACTGTTAATCGATGGTCTTTTTTTGTCCAAGCAATTCGTTTACTATACACACACAAAGTATCAAGTACCAGTCCGACAAATCACATTCTAAAGATACCCGTACACTACGGACAGTCATGATTCTAGCCTTCAAATAAGTCCAATGCCGTAGCAGTATCTCTGAATTTCGTACGGAGCATGATTTATGTCCTCGAAGTACAAAGTAAAGTGACTCGCGATAGCCATCGGAAGCGCATGTCTTGGCGCCGGGATCCGCCCAAAAAAAAATTAAGCTACTCCAACGCTCTGCCAATCAACACATTTTCAGAAGCCTTCTACGTCTCGTCTGAACATCATTACCTTAATCGCCTAAATACCACAGCCCTGCCCATCAATAAACCGAAACAACCAGCGCCATGCCCAAACGCAAGCTCGACGAGCTGAGCGCTCCCCCGCCGCGGCCGCGCGCCAGCGACACCCGCAAAATGTCAATTCACGGCACCCGGTTGACACAGATGTATGAGAATGGCGTGCAGATGATCTCACGGGGCCTTAAGATCTCGCGTGGCTTCGAGAGACAGAAACTCAGTCGTCGAGAGAAGACAGCGAAGACGCAGAAGGATGATAAGGCTTTGGGACGGTTGAAGGAGGAGATTGAGGTTCTCAAGGTACGGACATTGAACTCTGGACTTTGATTTGGCAGAATACAAACTAAGATATCCAACAGGGCCTCGATTACCAAGTGGTGTCTGAGCGATATCTTTTCAAACAACTCATCAAGACGAAGCGGATTGCGGAGACAAAGACGTTTGGTGAATTCCAACAAGTCAAGAAGGTGTCTCAGGAAGGTCCGAAGAGTACGGCCGAAGCTAATATTCTTGCGCGCCTGTTCAAATCTACGCCCGTGCAGAAAGAAATCCCAGGGATAATGGCTGGAATTCGCAAACTGTTGAAGATCGACGATGCGCCAGTTGAGAAGAAGGAAAAGGCAACGAAGAAGAAGTCAAAGGCTGAAGAGGACTCTGAGTCTGAATCGACGAAACGCCGGGGCGGCGAGCAGGTCTCCCGTTCCGATGCGATGGAAATATCTGGCTCAGAATCCGGAGACGAGGAACTATCCCAGTTCGATGCACGCCTTGCACCAGGATCAGATTCGGATGCTGATTCTGAGTCTGGCGACGAAGACGAAGACGAAGATGAAGATGGCATTTCCGATTCCATATCTCGCTCTCCATCACCCTCCTTCTCGGGTGCGGACTCTCCTCCACCAAAGAAAGCAAAGGCCACCAAAGGATCTGCTGCACCTGCGCAGAATACGACATTCCTTCCTTCGCTTATGGCTGGTGGTTACTGGTCTGGGTCTGAAGAAGCCACTGACGAGGAGGCTGAGGCCCAACCCAAGCGAAAGAACCGCATGGGTCAACAGGCCCGTCGGGCTCTCTGGGAAAAGAAGTTCGGCGCCTCAGCGAACCATGTGAAGCATGAAGCGATGCAGGAGAAGATGGCTGCCAAGTATGGTTATGGCAGTAGAGACCATGGATGGGATGCCAAGCGCGGTGCTACCGATGGCACCAGGGGGAGAGGCGGCAAGCGTGGTGCCTCCGGTGGTGGCTTCGGGCGAGCAAGCAAGCGTGATGACGCCGGCCAAGCTGGTGATAGCAAGCCCGGCAAGCCCGGCAAACCGAAGGGACCGCCCAAGGACGAGGGTCCCCTGCATCCTTCTTGGGAGGCAAAGCGGAAGGCCAAGGAGCAGGCTCCAGCTGCGTTCTCCGGAAAGAAGGTCACATTCGATTAATTTATGGCTATCATGTAAATCAAAGCAACATTATGTACCAAAGCAATATTCTGTTCGGGCCAAAAAGACTTATCCGACAAGTAATCCCATGGATACGATACAGTGACATCTTCGGATACATATATTCCCAAGCACCATGGGACATCGAGTCATCCATAATGACTACATAATAAACAGTATGTAAATCGGTTGCATTGCTGCAAATATCGTATGGAGTATTCCGGGTTTCGACAGATGATGAATATATAAACAAACGCGGGATGGTATACTAAGTAAATCCAAAGCCTGTACTCAAAAGGTTCAACGCAGAACATCAAAACCGCCAAACTAAAAGAAAGAAAAGGAAATTGTGAAGCCCCTGAAATGGTCTCTGATCTGTCGTCCAGTCCCTCGCTACACCAAGCGAGGGCATTAACCCATTGAAATCGAAAGTGTTTACTCTCTCATGAATTGAAGCCAATGGGGATCAGACGCACTACCTGGCGTCCTCATTTCAGGACCACCCATACCATTAGGCTGACCCTGAGCATCTGACTCGAAGATAGGAATAGCAGTGAACTCCCCAAGCTCCTGCGGGAAGTTTGAAACGAAATGATCGAAGCCAAAATGCGGCATTTGAGAAAGAGATGGGTGAGAGATGGAGAATGTGTCTGAAATTGCACCACCTGGAACCTCGCTCTCGGCAAGTTCCTGATCTGGTCCACCCGGGGTGGGTATCGCGCCGTTTGACTGGAGCATTGCCGCGGAAGGCGGTGTCATGGGAGTGCCTGGGATGATGGTGGCAGGGCCTGCGACGGAAGATGGATGGGGAGGTATGCCAGCGGCCATTTTCTGCTCGTTTGAAAAGGCTTCCTGTTGCTGCCAGGCCAGGGTAGAGGGTGAGATGGGGCCTGCCTTCCAGAGCATTTCCCAATTCTTGAATCTGTCGTATGCAGATTCGACGATGCCTCCGTTGGTTATTTCGGGCTGTGTTTCGGACCATGCCTCGAGGCGGCGGATGGCGCGTTCCAGCGCCTCAATCACACTAACAGCAGACCGAGCAGATCCCACACCCATGGACATGATCTTGATTAGAGAGATGCCCTGCTCAAGGGCAGCACCGAGCCGTTCAGTTCGTTTGGTAAGACCCTGTGCCAAGATGACCAGCAACGCCGCACGGCATGAGCTGAACTCCGTGAACGAGGCTCTTGCAAGACCTGTCTCATCACGCAACAAGCGGCACAGATCGATGATCTCCAAAGCTGCCTCCACACAGTCTGTGACGAGAGTCGCACGATTCTTGGCCAAACCAGAGGCCCCCTTGAACGGTGTAGTCTGAGAGGGAGTCTGATACAATCCTTTAATGTTGCTAAAGAGGAATGGGCGTCCAATGAATACTCTTGTCAGACAGTAATCCAACTTGAGGTGCACGTTTGACCTGAACAGAGGTCCCCCGGGGTTCAGATCACGGCAAGTAATTTCTTCTGGCAGAGTGGACCACCAATCCACGAGATGCTTTCGCAAATTGAGCAGTCGTTCGAGACAATCGTGTTGTTGATCTTTGCGAGACGTTCGCAAAGATGTGATTTCATGCGAGACCTGTCCAAGTTTCAAGGTCAATGTAATCAGAGCAACCATATTAGTATGATTGGAGATTTGAGATGCAGGCATCAGCCCCGGGAAGTCGACAGGTAGGGGCCCATCGACTTCGGGGTCTGATAATGATGACGGTCTGCCATGCAGAATGCTTATCCGTTTTTCAATGGTAAATGCTGTCCAGAAGACACGGTTTCGCACCTCGATCATGCGTGGAGAAAGACCTTCACCATGATATCTGCGGTGCATGCCATTTTGAATGGCTAGTTTCAGTGCTAGGCCAAAGTAAGTATAGCACAAGCCGGACGTATCCAATGGCAATAAATATGTTCCAATGAGTAAACAAGCCTGTACACTGCGAACGGAGGCAGTGGCAATGATGTCGGGCAAGAGCTTCGAGGCAAATTGATAAAATGTAAGACCGACTTCGTCTTCAGAGAAATGATGGTCCTGGTTCGCTGTAGAACCAGAAGGCAATCGGTTCATGGGGGTTGATGACTCCATGTGTGCGAATTGAGTACCAACAGCAAGAACCATGAGAATACAACACACTGCCCCTGCATCGTCAAACGACAAACTTTCAGGGTCAGTGTAGCAAACGCTCAGCTTTTCAATTAAATAATCTTCCTCAATGTAGAAATTGTTAGTCTGGGCGTATTTGAAGAAAATCTGGACGAGGAAATCTGCCACATATCGGGGCGGAAGACAGGTGATTGATGCCGATACAGCAGGAGACGCAGATTGAAGCTGTGTACTTCTCCATCGCTCTTCAAAGGGCTCAACTTCGGAAGTTGCCTGCGGAAACGAATATTTAGCACAAGTTTGTTCACCGACAATTCGGGAAACCCACATCCGGTGCCGCTGTCTTCATCCACTCATCGATCTTTTTGCGAATCTTCATAGTGAAATTTAGATATGAAAATTCACCCGAATATTCTGTAATATGTCAGATCCCAGATTTGTCCCCACAATCCATATTTTCCGCGCAACATACGGGTTGTATTATCCGGCATGGCTTTAATAGTGAAATGCTCGTCATCAATGGCAAGATCTTCCAACTCATTGGGATCTTCCTTTGCCGAGAATACATCAGACTCAGACTCGCGGTGTTTGCTTTTGAGCTCTTCCGCAGCCTGGCGCAGCGATTGGATATCAAAAGTGATATTCGGCACATAGTGGGAGAGCAGTTGCTCCATCAGGCGCACTCGTTCGGCTTCGGCGATCTCATTGCGATTCAAAGCGGCAGCTCGGTCCAAAAGTCTGATTTCAAATTGCGCCGTTAGCGAATTGTTCATGCATACTGTAATTTGAGGGGGAAAAAGTTGGCAAGTAATTGGCGCGACTCACGAAACCGAGGTTGACCGGGCTTTTTCGTTCGGGTCGATGTGTGTGAAATTGCATTGGCGGCGATATCGCGAGCACCTCCGACAGGGCACGCCCCCCTCACATTTTTCTTTGACCCGGCGACAGCCATCGCATCTGTAATCATGATTTTGTTAGCGAGTTGGTCTCGCGACACGAGGGAAGGCAATGTCTCACGCTCGGACAGCTCGCTTCCGATTTTCTTCGGCCACACGGGGGCGTTTTTGCTGACCGGGCGTCGAGATCGAGTCGTCCATGGCAGGTATAAACAGGTCAGGGCATAGTCTGTAGCGCAAAAGGGTCCAAAGGGTTGATCAGGGGAAGATGAGGAGAAAAAGAGAAGGGAAGTTCGCTGCTATCGATAAAGCGGAAGATCCCCGCATCCTCAGCCTCCGCCCATCGGCGCTGGTCAGTGCTCTTCACTTAACACAACACAGCATATGGAGTATGATTGATTTATATCTTATTTTCATGGATATTATGATATTCAATTCTTTTCAGACTAATTGGACTACTGGAGATAGACCGGGAGTCATAACTCAACGCCGCGGTTCGGCCGGAAGACCCATCCGAGAAAGCACTCGCAAGGTTCTCCCGGGAGAAGAGCTGTGATATATGCCCCAATTGCTCTGTTCAGCCTTTATTCTGCGACGGGGAATCCTGGAGTATAGCACAATTCACAAAGCATCTACCCAGCACAGCATTGTACTTGGTGAAATCAAAGATTCGCCCCTGGCCTCGTATAGGCACGCCACAGCAGCCGGACAGAGCAGTAACTCACGACACAGGGGGTATGAATACTTTCAAATGAGCGATAACCGACATATTTTTCGCAATTTCAAATGCCATAATTATTTCAACAATACTGCTTATATGTAACTACTACTTAACTACTAGAAACCCGCCACATGAGTCCCAAGCCCCATCTCACCCCCAACATCAAGCACCTTCTTTCCAATAACAAGATCCATCAACCCCATACCAACACACTTATAGACCACATTCCCACCATCAGGAACCTCCACCATCTCATCCACACCCGAACTCCCCAAAAGATCACCCATCTCAATCAAATCCCCCTCCCCAAGGCCAGCAGTAATCAACTCCCCCGCCTCCTCCAGACAAGCAGATTTAGAATCCACATAAACCTTCCCACCCGAAAGCAGTGTCTCAGTATCAATCTCATGCATAGGCGGTTTATAAGACCCAATCAACGAGATAAACCTCTGCTTCGGCACAGTCTGCAAATCCGCAAACGCAAAGTTCGGCTCAATAGAAGGCGTACAACTGAAAATCACATCCGACAATCCAAGTTCCTCTCCAAGTCTGGCTTGATAATCATTGACACCTTCCTTTGCCAGCGTGGAGAAAGTAACATCGGGATAAATACCCCGCAACTCGGCGATCACGTCTCGGTCCATCTCTGCGAGTCTTTTCGCCCCGCGATTCACAAAGGTCACGCGACGGACTTGCTCGGGATATAGAAGCAATGCAAGTCTGGCATGCCATTCTGCCTGACGGCCAGAGCCGAGGACAAGGATGTTATCTTTGCGAATGGGCACTCGAACAAGGAGAGTCATTGTTGCCAGTGCAGTGCGGAAGGCTGTTATTTCTGCGGCGGCGAGCAGGCCCTGCAGGCGTCCTTCTGGGTTGAAGACATTGATGACGCCTTGGATACCGCCTGCGGCGACGGTGACTACTTTGATGCCTGTTGAGACGGTGTCGGAAATTGGCATGAAGATGCAACTATTGTTCTTGCTAGTTGTGAAGACAGTGCGGAGCGGTTGGTGGATTTGTTTGTCTGATTCTGGGAATGAGGGTTTGGACTCCTGTGAGATGCTGATCAGGGCATTTCCCAGGGCTTTGATGAAGGTGTGGCATTGCTCTTTGGTTAGGCCACGGAAGACCTTGGAGACGTCGGGTTCGGAGAGGACGTGCATGTTGAGATTTTTTGGGTATTGACTGATTTGAAATAGCAGAAGAACTGAGATTTCAAGGATTAAATATGTGAAGTCAAAACAGTCGGGGCATGTATCGGATAGACCTTCCGCTTGTACGGAGGGGTAAAGCGTTACCGGCACGGGACAAGCCGCACACTTGTTAACTTGCACTTGTTACCTTCTCAATGGATTAGAGCTAAGCCGTTGTATGAACAGTGTTTTAAGGTCTTACCTAGGTAATATGTACTGCTGATGTAAACGCCTGAGCCACATCCGCCTCAGAACAAGATCTATAGATATATAAACACCTTGTTTTCCTTGAACCCCAGATGCAAGGAAGTCTCTTCCTCTTCAATGTGCTCAACACGATTCTCAGCCACCATTAATCCACCCCGACTTTCCTCGGTTGGTTCTTGAATATTTTCCAGAACTTAAATCCGCGCTAATTTGTCTTGCCTGGTCCTAGATTGTCGAGAATGTCAACATCCTCCAGCCCCAGAAAAGCGAAGTTGATGAGGCGCTGGAAAAAACCCGGGATTATTGGTATCATCTCGCATCACTAGCCTTCGCCTATCGAGATCATGGCTTGACCCCGGAGCATACAAACCCGCGTCTCACCCTCCATAGGATACCAAAATTCCAAGGCCGACCCAGAAAGATCCATGTTCGCCCTTATGGAGTCTCTTCAATTCCTGTGCTCTGCATGCAAGCCTCTTCTACTTGGAGATTGGTAGAAAACTCGAGCTGCGACATGATCGAGAAAGAAATCACCAATTCCGCCCTTCTGAAAATTGGCACCAGTTCTGCTATTCCCTACAGTTTTTGTGGGACAGTCTTCAGTTCTTGGATTGGCACAACAGAAGAGAGTCGCATCGGTCCCAACTATCTAGGAATTCTCACAGTTGCATGGTGTTATATTCTCTCTGCGCGGCTCGTGGAAATACAAGGGGAAGGAGCTAGTATGCAATGCACAAGCTCTGAGACCGAGGGTGAAAGCCTTTACGGTCTCCAAGAGACATATAACCTTGAAGTTGGGGAAGCGGATGAGAATGTGACTCGATGGTGGATTGCAATACTCGCTCAACACCAAGGATGGAAAGCGACAGTGAAACAAACTCCTGAAGGCGAGTTCCTCGCACCGTGGGCAGTGTCCCGCACGTGTCAAACACGCTTCAAAATCCAAGAGAAGAGATATTTGCCGGCTTCAGTGTGCTCTCCTTTAACTTCAGAACAAGCCTTTGATGCCCTCACTGAGTTTGCGTGTTTACATGGACTGGGTAGCCAATTATCTATCGCTCTTATGGCAGCCGTGACGTTTCCAACGCCTCAATACTATGGCTCGACTGTCCAACTACCATTCCCAAGAGCAACTGGTGGTAGACTGCCCACAGCTCCAATTTCGTTGCAATGGCCAAGTTTAATCAAAGAGCTGTCATACTACATGACTCTGAGCTGCAGTCCGGAAGTAGTGATGTCGACTCTTTGCGGATCATTCTGGGAACTGGAAGTTCCTTGCAATCTCGTCGGTCCCTGGTTGCATCCGATTCTTAACGAGGTAGTTAGTGGAACTTCTGGCACTGTTGACCATGATTACGAAATACTTGCTTTAATAGGTGCAATACGTCGACCAAATATCCGTGCTCTATGGATTGGGGCAGCGACAAGCGGGTTAGGCCCCAAAATCATTCAAAAAGTGAGAAGAGGCAGGCCTCCTCTTGACGCACTTGCCTTTCCCTGGACTGGTTATCCTCAAAGCTTTACTGCAGGCTCGGGTCCATATACTTGTGTGAATGCAGAATACATTTCAAGGCCAGACGTGTGGCGTTTGCTCCACCTCCCTCCAAAGGAGGGCGACGACCTATGCTATCGCAACAGACTCTGCACGCCCTGGGCACCCTGTGGGAACTCCAAGATAAAAGATTGCGCCCTTCGTGTGACTTCACATTTAAGATGCAATCGACATGAGTACCATTTCCACCATTGGAACTGGGACCCAGAAGAAGGTGCGATTGTTCAGGACTATGGATTTTCAACGACACCTATTTCAACGATCATCGAATATCCTACCGACATCTTGGATATCAAGAAACCTAAACCATTTCAGAAGAAGGAACTTGATCAAATGGCCTCTCGAGAAGCTTCATCGGATATCTTCCGCTGGTTCTTCATCAATGGGGAGGGTAAACCTCCAGAGAGTATATATGAAGACGATTGGCTCAAAGAAATATGGGATCAAGATGAAAGTGGCGAGGAAGCTGATGAGGCTGTTGATCAAAAGTCGCAAGGGCTTGTTGCTACAAGTAGAGATCGGGTGGAAATCTGGCTTAGTTCAGTCACCTAGAGCAGTTTTGATCTGCCAAGTACAATTGTTTATATATCAAATATAAGCAGCGGTACATGGGAGCTTAAACCAGCGTCCAAGGTAGCCATTTACGGTAGCCGATTTACCATCAATTAGCGTTGGGCTGTAAAATTCGTGATATTGAAATGAAATTGAAATCGTTGATCATTAATCTCCCCAAACTCCTGTTATGCACCCAAGCTAGAAGCAAATGCAAATGCAATCAACCCGTAGGCTAGTGCCGCAAAATCCCAATCAAAGTAGTCCTTTTTTTCACAATTCAAGGTCGAATGCGACAAGCTTATTTGCTGCTGCTGAAGGCATTGCCGCAGCGACGCTTCAGCTCAGCAAGCATGGCCACCTGGGAGTCCTTGGTACGGCCAACGGCTTCGGTGTTCTCAACGGCACGACGGAGCAGGAAACCCATGCACTCCTTGACAGAGCCCCAAGTCAAAAGCTTGAAGACATTAGGGGCATCAATGGGCGAGGCACCGACACTGTCCTCGGCGTTCTCGAAGCCCTGCAGAAGTTCACAGCTGACCTCATCGGCCATACCCTGAAGCTGAGCATAGCTGACATCGACGCCCAGGTCCTCGTTACGGGTGGCCTGTTCCATGCGCAGAGCGTGGGCCTTGCGGACAGACTCGCGGTTGTGGGTGGCGATGATGACGTTCACAGGGGGCAGGTCGGTGGTCTCCTTGGTGGGGGCCTGGAGCATGGAGTTGTACTTGCGGGTCAGGAGAGCGGCCACGACCTCGTCATAGCACTTGTCGGTATCTTCCTTCTTGGCCCAGAAGATTTCGCGGGGGTCAGTCTTCATGTAGGCACCGCGGACCATCTTGACACCCAGGGTGTATCCTTCAGCACGGGCGGTTTCAAGGTGGCGAGCGAGAGTGGCGGGGGTAGAGCGGAGGTAGGCCTGGTAGGTTCCGTAGAACACGGCGCGTCCAGGGGTCTGGGAGTTGCAGTACTTCTGGTACTTCATGATCCAGGCCTCGATACCGGGCTGCACAGCGCGCTCTTCGGCATCGACGAGCAGACGCACACCGCGGGAGATTGCGAGGTCGCAAATCTTTTGGATGGAGGTGTCCATGAATTCGGTGGGCATAGTCTGGGACTGCAGAAGACGGAGGGCGTCGATGCCCATTCCGGTGAACTTCAGAGCGACGAAGTCGCCTGGTTGGGCCATATCAACGGTCTGCAAAGTTCCGTCGATCCAGAACTGGATATCAGCCAGAGCGGCCTTGGCGTCATAGGAAGCATCATCGTTCTCGCCGATGAGGACCTCACGCGCGTATCCCAGCAGGACACCACGACATCCTAGAGCCTTGATCTTGTTGATCGATTCCTGGACCTCAAGCTTGTTCTCACCAGCGTTGAATTGCTTGTAGATAGTGTGCTTGATCAGGGTGTTCAGAAGTGGGTTTTTGGCGACATCCCACAATGCGTTGCGCGGGTGTGCAAGAAGAGACAGCGTATAGATGCATGGCTTCAAAAGAAGAGTCGAGGATGAGACGGAAAGCACGAGCAAAGAGCGGAGGACAGATGAAAGAGGCAGCTTTGCCAAAGGGGCAGTCAGTGCCTTTCGTGGTTGAGCAGGTGTCTGTGCGAGTGATTGCCATGCGTTTGCTGCGGCGGGGGAGGCGATAGAAGAGCGGGAGTTGCTAGTGCCGCTCACAAATCGGGCGTTGCGAGCAGATGCCTTAATTGGCATACGCACGGAAGGTGCTGCCTTCATGGTGTAGATAATGTGGGGTAAGAGACAATGTAATAAGAAAGAGAGTGAGAGGCAAAGTTGATAGAGCTTTGTACGTGAGAGCCACGAGCTTATAGGATTATGTAGATAGAGGATAGAGCCGGTGGCAACCGCCAGGCACCGGTACGGTCAGCAGGTTAGAAATTGACGGGCCGGCAGACCTCCAAATTTTGATATTGAATGTTGGAGTTACTATTGCTAAGCTTATTGAAGCGTTCTTCCTTGGCCTTTTTTGGCTCCGGTGGAGATCCATGGATATTTCTTTCTTTTCGCCCAAATTTGCCACCCTACTCACCTCAAGGTACTGATACGAGTATTCGACCAGGATCTTGGTGATCATGGGGTTCGAGCGAGTAATCCGAGACTGGGATTCGTCCTTTCAGTGTTCACCTCTCAGATACAGTTCAGCATTGCAGGAGTTCGTCAGGGATCTCCAGGGCTTGTCACGGGCCGGTTTATGCTATCGACCAATGATAAGCTGATAAGGGTCAGTGACCGGGCCGGTGTTCTGATCTTGAGCGCGTGACCAAAACCGGTTACTTCCGGCCTCTGCTTCTCTTGTTAGTTATTAGTTAGTTGAATTAAATAATGGAATTGGGATCGAGCGTATCACCTTTGATCAAGAATTGTCATTCTTCAGGTTAGATCGTGCAGATCGTCTACCCCGGATTCCCTAGCAAACAGAACAAACAACGTTAAACACAAATTAGCATTTAAAGTTCCAAGCTAAGCCGGGATGGGAAGAGAGGCTGAAGGAGCACATGGAACGTACTTAAGTATAACCCACCAAGGAGTTCCCTTGATAAGCATTACAGCATGACATTAGAATCTGTTGAGCTGAGATAGCCTATCTAGACCCGATAGGAATCCTGCCGGAGCTAGACTAAAAACGCAAGGCGGGCCGATAGAGCCGATCGTCTCTAGAGTCTATCCTCTGCTGGTTTCACGACTGCGCGGTCTGCGATATCTTTTTCGGGCGATTAAATATGACTGCGCGGTCCTTGTCATCAGTTTCAGCCAATCGTGGACTTGTCTCGGTCCGGAGTATAGATGAAAATAGCCTTGAGGGACGGTAAACCCTCACTTCCCCGCGAATTAACCAAACATTTGAATCCCCTTTGGGTTCAGATTATGCTTTCTCGCTCAAGATAGCCATATTCTTTTCTGAAGCACACCATCAGGATGAGTTATTCTCTCCGAATAGTGCGATAGTAACCAGGGGTTATCCCACTAGTAGAATAAAGATCATGCCGCCTCCAGATATTGAAGCAGGCTCGTAGAGTGAATATCCTCTTTACTTCCTCCTCTCTCCCCCTGTACCCTAGTTGTTACACACAGAGATTTCTCTTTTCTTTCGGCTCACTCGCCATGAAAGACTCTTTCAAGGTCATGGAGGAGGGCGTCCAGCCTGAGACCCAATATGATGATCCCAAGGCTATTCAAGGGGAGGTAATCGGACCTCATAACACCAACACACAACGAGGCTTGAGCTCTCGACACATTCAATTTTTGGCACTCGGCGGTTGCATCGGGACAGGCTTGTTTGTTGGCAGTGGAGCGGCACTGTCGACGGTTGGTCCAGGTAGGCTATTATTGGCGGCATGCGAGTGTACGAGTTGATCACTTGCTAACTTCTAAGACAGCTCCTCTGTTAATGGGTTACATTGCCATGTCCACGGTCGTTTACTTCATCATGAATATGCTGGGTGAAATGACCACGTACCTTCCCGTTCGAGGTGTATCCGTACCCTACTTCATCAATCGCTTCACGGAGCCTAGCCTTGGATTTGCAGTCGGTATGGTTGGGGCATCTTTCGGCATGCGGGGGAATCGTTGCTGAATGCCATATCTAGGATACAATTACTGGTACTCCTTCTCAATGTTACTCGCCTCTGAGGTAACTGCCGCCGGTCTCGTGATTGAGTACTGGCCCTCTTCGGTCAGTGTGGGCGTGTGGATTGCAATCATTCTTATTGGTAAGCTTTTTTCCAAGATTTGTCTGGCTTCAACCTCTAACCATCCCCTAAGTTATCCTTTTCCTCAACATTGTTGCCGTGTCCTGGTATGGCGAAGCAGAGTTCTGGTTTGCATCACTCAAGATCATTGCGATTATTGGCCTGATCATTCTCGGTATTGTGCTATTCTTTGGAGGAGGTCCCACCCATGATCGTCTGGGGTTCCGATACTGGCAACGACCGGGCGCATTTGTGGAGCCGTATCTGGTGCCGAGCGTTAACACAGGTCGTTTCCTTGCATTTTGGACAGCCCTCATCAAATCTGGGTTCTCTTTCATTTTCTCGCCCGAGCTCATCACCACCGCCGCTGGCGAGGCTGTGTCTCCCCGTCGCAACATTCCCAAGGCCACGAACCGCTTTATCTATCGTCTCTTTGCGTTCTATGTTCTTGGCAGCTTGGTGATTGGAGTGACGGTCGCTTACAATGATAAGAACTTGCTACAGGGTGTTGCCAGCGGTGGTTCTGGTGCGGGTGCCAGTCCGTTCGTGATTGGCATTCAAAATGCTGGTATCGCCGGTTTGAACCACGTTATCAATGCCGCCATTTTGATCTCTGCGTTCTCCTCGGGTAACTCTTGGGTCTATGCTGGCTCCCGTACTCTCTACTCCATGGCATGTGAGGGCCAAGCACCGAAGTTCTTTGCCCGCTGCAACAAAAACGGTGTGCCCTACAACGCAGTTCTGATCACCTGGTCCATTGGCCTCCTTTCGTTTTTGAATCTATCTGCATCTGGATCAACCGTCTTTTACTGGTTCACTAACATCACTACTATCGGGGGATTCATCTCCTGGGTTCTTGTTGGAATTGCTTACTTGGTATGTTTTTCTATCTTTTCCTCACCCAAACTCACTAACACCTCTACAGCGCTTCCGCGGTGCTTTGGAGTTCCATGGAATGCTTGAATCCAGGCCTTTTAAGACGCCATTTCAACCGTATGGTGCATACTATGCCATGGGCTTTATCTCCCTCCTTGCTATCACCAACGGCTACACTATCTTCTTTCCTGGCTCATTCACAGCTTCAGACTTCCTCGTCTCATACATTGTGTTTGTGATTTTCTTTTTGCTTTACTTCGGCCACAAGATCTATTACAAGACACCCTGGATGATCAAGGTATCGGAAATCGATATCTTCAGCGGCAAAGAGGAGATCGACCGACTTGAGGAAGAGGATATTGAGCCCCAGCCAAGAAACTGGCTCCAGCGTGTGTGGTGGTGGATTGCATAGATTCCATATCTTCTATCTAAGCTTGAATACTTAAATAATTTAACAAGGATGCCCAGATGCACCTCTTCGAAGCAGTTAAACAATCTTCTGGAACGCCCCACATACATCTACCCGGGGACTCTGGCCATCCATATTTACAAGTTCTGGAATGATCTTATCTCTTCGTACCTGCGACTAGTACTACTTCTGTGAAGTGAGTGATACCTGGAGTTGTGGGGTAGATAGCATTGACATTACTCCAGAGCTACCGGGTGAATAAAGTCCCAAAAGGGCCGGATCTGGGATATCCACCCGGCCCGGTAAGACCCACCCGGGACTCTTACCGGCCAATTCTGATTGGTCGCACCACCAAAGATCAACCGGGCTGGGATTGGCTGCCCACCTGCAGGTTGAGCTGACCGGTCGTAGCCGGCCATTTCATCATGCTTCCCCGCGTATACTTTTTCTTCTCCAACTTTTCCTAACTTCTTCTTTCTTTCAATTCTTTGGACTGTAAAGATCAAGTATTCAAAATGCAGACCTCTATTCTACGCGCTCGCGCGCCTATCTCGCGCCTTGCATCCCGCATTCCTAGCACGCGTGCTATGGGCACATATGCTACTTTCAAGATTCCCCAGATTAACAATGAGCCCAACGTGAGTGATCGTCATGTTCGCAAACTGAAGACAATTTTCACTGACTTTGGATGTCTAGAAACACTACATTCCTGGTTCACCAGACCGCAAGGGACTGGAGGATGCGCTGGCCAGCTACCAGAAGAGCGCCCCATTGAATGTGCCTCTGGTGGTTGCCGGAAAGGAGGTAGGAAATCATGGAATCTCGCTAGAATTGAATATATACTAACGTTTCAAATTAAAGCTCAAGGGCTACGAAACCTTCACTCAGAGCAACCCCGCATCCCACGCCCCCGTGGCTACTTACTCCAATGCCACCAAGGCCGATGTGCAGGCTGCGATCGATTCCGCCCTCGCAGCTCGCAAGTCCTGGGCTGACACTCCCTTTGCTGAGCGTGCCAGCATCTTCCTCAAGGCTGCTGATTTGATTGCCACCAAGTACCGTTACGACATCATGGCCCTGACCATGCACGGCCAGGGCAAGAACGCATGGCAGGCCGAGATTGACTCCGCTGCCGAGCTGGTTGATTTCTTCCGATTCGGCGTGAAGTACGCCGAGGAAGTCTACGCCCAGCAGCCTTCTCACAACTCGCCTGGTGTGTGGAACCGCACTGAGTACCGCCCTCTGGAGGGTTTCGTGTACGCCATCAGTCCCTTCAACTTCACTGCTATCGGAGGTAACTTGGCTGGTGCCCCCGCTCTGATGGGTAACGTTGTCATCTGGAAGCCCTCTCCTGCTGCCATTGCCTCCAACTGGCTCGTGCACCAGATTCTTCTGGAGGCTGGTCTGCCTAAGGATGTCATCCAGTTCGTCCCCGGTGATGCCGAGGAGGTCACCAGCACCGTTCTTGACAGCCGTGAATTCGCTGCTCTCCACTTCACCGGAAGCACTGACGTCTTCCGTATGTTGTACGGCAAGATCTCCCAGGGTGTGGCGGATGGCAAGTACCGCAGCTACCCTCGCATTGTTGGTGAGACCGGTGGCAAGAACTTCCACTTGGTCCACAAGTCTGCCGATGTGCGCAACGCCGCAGTCCAGACCGTCCGCGGTGCCTTTGAGTTCCAGGGCCAGAAGTGCAGCGCCACTTCTCGCGCATACATTGCCTCCTCCATCGTTGAGGACTTCACCCAGCAGGTTGTCGCCGAGGTGCAGAAGATCAACGTCGGTGAGCCTTCCGAGTTCACCAACTTCTGCGGTCCCGTTATCCACGAGGGCTCCTTCAACAAGCTTGCCGGTGTCATCGATGAGGCCAAGAACGACCCCGAGCTTGAGCTCCTCGCCGGTGGATCCTACGACTCATCCGCCGGATGGTACATCCAGCCTACCGTCTACCGCACCACCAACCCCGACCACCCCCTTCTGTCCCGTGAGCTCTTCGGTCCTGTCCTGGTCATCCACGCCTACAACGACGCCACCGATGCCGACTTCACCAAGATCTGCGGCAAGATCGACAGCACCAGCACCTACGGTCTGACCGGTTCCATCTTCGCCCAGGACCGCGCCGCCATCCAGGTTGCCGACGAGGCCCTCCGCAACGCCGCTGGTAACTTCTACATCAACTGCAAGAGCACTGGTGCCGTTGTCGGCCAGCAGCCCTTCGGTGGTGCCCGTGCCAGTGGTACTAACGACAAGGCCGGTAGCGCCAACCTGATGACTCGCTTCGTCAGCCTCCGCTCCATCAAGGAGGAGTATGTCCCCACATACACCGTTGCCTACCCCAGCAACGCCAACTAAGTCATGGACTCTGATCCATTTTGAAACTCCATGCTTTATGATATTGTTGGCGTCAATCTTGCATCCCACCCCGGCGTTCTGTTCAAAATTGTTATAACGATTCCAAGGAATCTTGAAATGTACATTTATCTACTCAAAGAAATTTCAAGTATACCATTCCATCTCATACGTCCAAGTAAATGTCTATCTCTCAATTGGTAGCACAACTCGCCAAAAACCGCTGCATACTATCCATAGCCTGTTTCGCAAAAGGAACCATCTCATACTTCTTCCCATCCCCTTTAGGCCCAGAATCAAAAATCTCCATAGAAAACCATCCCCGGAACCCAGTCTTCAGTACAGCCCTGGCAACATCCTCAATAGGCAAATACCCCCCATCATACGGCATAGGTCTATAATCATGACTCCAGCGACCCCTAGGCCTCAGCCCATCAATAGTCTTATCCTCCAAAGGCGGCGAGACCTTATACGCGTCGGAGATCTGAAGAAGATAAATCTTCTCCGCTGGCACCGTGGCCGCAAGCTCATCCATGCTTGCATCAAACCGCTTGCGCAAATCGGCCTGCGGGACATCTTCAATCAAGCCGGATTTGGTCGTCGGATCGCCCCATTCACTTCCCGCTGTTTGGAACGTGTCTAGACATAAGCCGCAATTGGGTTGGTCTACTGCTTTCACGATTTCCCAGACTGCTTTCCAGCTTGGGGCGTGGGTTGACCAGCACCAGTTTTCGTAGGCGAGTCGGTAGTTTCGCTTGGCGAGGAGTTCGGATAGAAGACGTAGATCGGCGATGATGGTTTCTCGTTCGCAGGAAATTGCCGGCTCAGGTGTATCTGTTGCTCCGACCTTTTTGGGAAGAATTTAGTTAATTGTCTTACTTGATTAAGTGTATAATTGCATACTTGCAATAAATCAGTACCGACCACATTCATAACTTCCATCCAACCCGAAGCGCGGGCGAAGGCTTGTTCCCGATCCATCGATCCTTTGACCCAGCCCTCGAGGTTAGAGAATGGTTGTAGCATCATGATGCTTAGTCCGTGGGAGTCGCATAGTTTTCGAATATCTTCTGCTATGGGGATGATCTTGGGGTAGTCGGTTGGACTAATTGGTTGGCCTGTTATCTGGAGACCATGGTCCAGGATATCAGGGAAGGATAGTTCGATTGCGGTGAATCCTGCTGCACTGATTGCTTCTAGACGACGGGGGAGCGTGTCTTTCGGTCCACAGCCGATTGAGCATGAGGCATAGGAGAGTGGGGTTTTCTGGAGGGATGCACGGGAGATGGACATGTTGAGTGATAGTTGAGGCGAGAAGGCAGCAATTCTGAAGAAAAATACTTTCACCTCGAAGCAATTGAAGCAATTGAAGCTCCTGAAGCAAGATTTGTCGGCTTTCTTGCCTCGTTGATTTGACTATGACGACTTGCCTCTTGTTTCGTCACAGATGCATCATCGCGTTGGCCTCGGGAGGCTGTCCTGCTTCTAAAGTTGAACGCATTGCATTTGCCTCCACACCCACTTTATATCTGGGCAAAGGAAATATTGCCATCAGGATGTCTCGAGGATCTCTGATTGCATCCTGACAGTGTTCCGGATCTGTGATCCGGTTGCCACCGGCTGGGGGTTGAAGTAGCGCAGGCGTCTCTGACATTCTCGAACAACTTTCGCGTATTGAGCACCATCCCTCGAAGTCTGACTGAGCCAGTACGCCGATCGAATTCCAGTTTGCAACAATGCCGTCGTCAATCAAAAGCATCGGTGTTGTGGGCGCCGGCAATATGGGGTCCATGATGACCCTCCGCTTTGCCGAGCTTGGCCTCGCCGTCTCAGTCTGGGACATTGAGAAGAAAAATGTTGACGAGGTTGTCGACTATGCAACAAAAGATAAAGACATCAAAGGCCGTGTTCAAGGATTTTACAACATCAACGAGTTTGCCAAAAGCCTGGAGGGAAAGTCTGATCGGAAATTGTTCATGTTCTCCATCACGCATGGGGGGCCTGCAGATGACGTTCTACGTATGATCAAGCCTGATCTCAAGAAGGGTGATATTATTCTCGACGGCGGCAATGAGAACTATCGAAACACCGAGCGCCGTCAGAAAGAATGCGCTGCCATTGGCGTTAGTTGGATTGGCATGGGTGTTTCTGGGGGTTACCAGTCTGCACGACGCGGTCCTAGTCTCTCGCCCGGTGGAGACGCCAAAGCTTTGCAGCTTGTGATGCCATTCTTGGAATCATATGCCGCCAAGGACCCGAAAACTGGAACTCCATGCGTCAAGCGCATGGGGCCAGGTGGCTCAGGCCACTATATCAAAATGGTTCACAATGGGATTGAGGGTGGTATGCTCTCCGTGCTCGCTGAAGCTTGGCAGTATATGCACGATGGTCTCGGTATGGAACACTCGAAGATCGGCGACGTGTTCGGAAAGTGGAACGAGGCCGGCGAATTACGCAGCAACTTCCTCATTCATATCGGTGAAAAAATCCTTCACACTCGCAGAACCCCAGAGGGTGATCATAAGGGTGAGGGAGCGAGTCGGGATGACGGATATGTTCTTGACGATGTGCTTGACAAGGTTGTCCAAGACGATGATGGCACCGAAGGTACACCCCTCTGGTGTCTCATGGAATCAGCCTCCCGCCACGTCTCGTGTCCCACTCTAGCGGCAGCTCATTACATGCGTATCTCGAGTGGAAATCGAAAGGAGCGTGTGCGTGCAGCCAAGAAACTGGAAATGCCCATGCCCAAGCCAATCGAAGGCACTCGAGATTACAAGGAGATTATTGAGAATCTCCGTCAAGCCGTATACTGTTCTTTCCTGGCATCATTCTGCCAGGGACTGGAGTTGATCTCCCGGGCCTCAATAGATGAAGGCTGGAACGTCAACTTGGGCGACTGTTTGCAGATCTGGCGGGCTGGGTGCATCATCCAATCTGATCATATCGCAGATCTTCTCCAACCGCCACTAGCCACGCACAATGAGTTGACCAATGCCAAGTTTGTGGACTCGGTTGCGCACGAACTTCACCAGAGCTTCCGGGGTCTGAAGGAAATTGTGATGGAAGGCACGATGTCGGATCAATATATTCCTGCACTTTCTGCTACTTTGGAGTACCTGAAGTATGAAGGTGGACTGGGACTCCCCACCAAATTTATGGAAGCCCAGATGGATTACTTTGGTGCACACAACTACAACAAGCCTGGCATTCCCGGGGAAGATCCAGGTCCTGTGCACAAGGGCCCTCACCATTACGAATGGCTGCCAGCTTAATCTAGTGCGATGTGTATTTTTTTACATTTTTGAATAGTATCAGAAATTGGACATACTCTCAACATGACTCCGAATATACACATACTTAAGTAGTATCTAGCAATTTCCAACAAGCCCTTGAAAGGACCATGATCGACGTTGTATAGATGCCCAAAAAGGCAAGTTGCAGCCTCAGGATCGCACTGCACGTGGGGCTGGATTCAGCCAATCGGCGGACAGAAACACCGCAACCCGACTTTTGATGAAGACGCAACATGCGCTTCTTCAATCGATCTTTCTCCTCTATATCCAAGCCGTTTCGTCGAATTGAATCTCCGAAACAACTTGCTCGCAGAATGGCTTCGCTCCCTTCCACCTACGATGGTACGCCATTTCCCAAACCTATACCCCTCACTACCCCCACTTCAAAAACTGCCAATCTGACAATCTGACAGGGTCCGTCCCAATTGCTATCATCGGAGGCACTGGTCTGCGTGAGCTGCCCGGCTTCAGCCAGGTTGCTTCGTTGAACATCGAGACCCCCTGGGGCGCTCCTTCCTCCCCCATCACCATCTTGCACCACGAGTGCAAGCACAACGGCAAGACTGTCGCAATCGCTTTCCTGAGCCGTCACGGTCCCCACCACCAGATCGCTCCCCACGAGGTTCCTGCCCGTGCCAACATCGCTGCCCTCCGCTCCATCGGTGTTCGCTCCATCGTCGCCTTCTCCGCCGTCGGCAGTCTGCAGGAGGAGATCAAGCCCCGCGACTTCGTGATCCCCGACCAGGTCATTGACCGTACCAAGGGCGTGCGCCCATGGACTTTCTTCGAGGGCGGCGTTGTCGCCCACGTCCCCTTCGGCGACCCCTTTGACGAGGGCATCGCCAAGGTGGTGCGCGAGTGCGGACACAGCCTGGAGGGCGAGGGTGTCACCCTGCACGACCGCGGCACCATTATCTGCATGGGTAAGAGAAGCCAAACCATTCACCCTGATAACTAAACACTAATCCAATCATGAACAGAGGGCCCCCAATTCTCCACCCGCGCCGAGAGCAAGATGTACCGCTCCTGGGGCGGCAGCGTAATCAACATGTCTGTCCTCCCTGAGGCCAAGCTCGCCCGCGAGGCCGAGATCGCATACCAGATGATCTGCATGTCCACAGACTATGACTGCTGGCACGAGTCTACTGCCGACGTGACTGTTGAGATGGTCATGGGCCACATGAAGGCTAACGCGGACAACGCTCGCCGCTTCATCACTGCTGTTCTTGATGCCCTTGCTGGTGAGGAGCACTCTGAGCTTATCCAGGCTAAGCACCTGGCTGGTGGTATTAAGTTCGGTGTTACTACCCCTCAGACCAGCTGGTCTGCCGAGGGTAAGAAGAAGCTGGACTGGCTTTTCCCTGGTTACTGGTAGATATCGAGTGACGTGAGAGCGTTGCTGGGCATATAAGTTTGCATTGTATTTACGGGATATGCATGATTAGATGAAGGAATTGAATACAGATCTGCCATTTTTTAGCCATTTTTTAGCCATTTTTTGGGTTTCTTCTGTCAGATACATATGTGGTTCTACATGAAGGTGATTTTCGCGGCTCATTCACAATGATATGGGTACCAACATTGGAATACACCAACTTTAGAATATTTATGGACCAAATTGCAATTTTGAAAATACGTTGGCCTTATTCTGTATCGCGAACTTTCAGCGTTGACTTTCTATACATTGCGCCTTGGCAGCACGTGATCATTCTGCCTTAGGTGTCTGCCCGATAAGCGACCGTATCTACAGCTGAGCTGTCACCCCGAACTCCACCGGAGCACACCGTCTCCGGAAACGTCTCCTGTCATTGTTGCTCCCTTGTACGGACCTGGGAACCCTTGAACCGGATCCTAGTCTCAGCACAAATAATGCGCGGAGCTTTGCGTCATCTGCTGGGATGAGAAGTGACAGCTTAGGCTTGTCAGAAGTTTGAATACCAGATCACGGTTGTGGGGCATCGGGGTAGACATGATGACCCCTGCTAACCACTCGCATTTCGAACCAATGGATGATCGGACGACCAGTGGTACGAATAGCATCGACACCCCGCCCGAATCTGCATTTCCGAACATGGAGGATCCTCATCAAGAGGAGCAAGAGGCGCCATCTAGCGGAGAGGGCTTCCAGGGCCTGAGTACGCGGGACGAAAGCCACAGCAAGGAAACGAATGGCGAGTCGAGATCGGAACGTCGCAGTTCTTCAGGTGGCTATAAAGGAGGCCTTGGATCGCCGGAGCAGGGGCTGGGAATCTTGGTCGAACATTCGCAGCGCGATGAGAAGAGCAACGGCCAGTTGTCTATCGTAGATGTCTACAATGGCAACCAAGCCCAAGCGGCTCTGCTTGAACTCTCCGATGAGCTCTCTCTGAAACCTGAAAAGGAAAATGAGAAGATCATGAAGTTGTCTCCAGAGAAGATCCAAGAACTTACATCCTCACCGGAGTCAATACCTTACCGGCCCGCGGAACCTGAAAGGAACACAGGTAGGCGATCAGTATCGGACAATGTTCATGGCAATATCCCTACACCGCGACCAGAGATTCCAGACTTTGTTCTTCAGCCGCTGAGCGAGACACTGCCAGTCGCCGACACTCTTCCAAAGTTGCGACCAACCAAGGGCGTATCATTGGGTGATGCATCGGCACCAGCCAGCCCTGCATTTCCTCGCAACACGGAAAAATCATCTCTGCGTAACCGACCGCACCCATCTCGAACAGTATCCACCCCCGGATCCACACGACGTCAACCGCCATCCACACCAATGAACGATAGGTTGGCACATACATGGGCATCGCGTGGGAAACAGGATCGCTTCATTCCCGACCGTGATCTGAAAACCCATCTCATGGCTCCAGCTCAAGTGATCGAGACTCCATTGACCTCACCTTTGCCATCATCTATCCCTTTACCTCCCGTGTCTTTACCGACATATCTGCAACTTGAACTTGCGTCTGGAAGACCTTCACCATTGTACATTCATCGAGATGCATCGAATGATTTCCCGTATGAATCTTCGCGCGTCAAAATCGAGAGACTTGTGAATTTCCTCATGCTTCCCCCAATGCTAGAGCAGGTACTTTGCTTTGGAAGTTTAGCATGTCTTGATGCGTGGCTTTATTCATTTACAATCATGCCTTTGCGATTTATTAAAGCCGTTTATATTCTTGGCGAGTCATGGGTCATAAACCTGGGCGCCGAGATTCGATTCATATGGAAGTTTGTCATGACTGGTATCGGCCGGATGTGGCGGCGGCGGAATCATGGCCTCAAAGAGGACCAGAAAGAGAGACGAGGAAGTGAGTCAGATGCCACTCCCCGATTGCCTTCAAGCTCCTCTTCTGGCCTGGAAACCGCAGGGTCCGAAAGAGACCCGCGCCCGCCACACGCAGAGCCGCCAAGGGCCAAGCATCGATCATCTGAGTCTAGAAAGCATCACCATCGTCGGAAGAAATCAATGCCATCGGCACTCTTGCCCGATGACAAAGCGGACATTTTGACTGGCCTGCTTATGATTGCTACATGTTGTATCTTGATGTATTTTGACGCCAGTCGAATGTATCACTGGATCCGTGGACAAGCTGCTATCAAGTTATATGTGATTTACAACGTGCTTGAGGTCAGTGACCGGCTTCTGGCAGCCATTGGCCAGGACGTGCTCGAATGCCTTTTCTCTCAAGAGGCCCTTGAGCGTCGTCCTGACGGACGGAGCAAAATCATTCGTCCGTTCTGGCTGTTCTTCTTGGCACTGGCTTACACAGTGTCCCATGCGACCTCACTGTTCTATCAAGTCATGACGTTGAATGTTGCTGTAAACTCATATTCAAATGCCCTCATTACCCTGCTCTTGTCAAACCAATTTGTGGAAATCAAGTCCACGGTTTTCCGCAAATTTGAGAAGGAGAATCTCTTCCAGCTTACCTGTGCCGACGTTGTGGAACGATTCCAACTTTGGTTGATGCTCACTATCATTGCTTCACGCAACATCGTCGAAACCGGCGCTTTTAATTTTATCGGGAACTTTGGGCTGGGCTCCAACCTTACGGGCCAGTCATCCACCAGCACCAACAGTACACCACTATCTACGCCTCCACGAACTGCATCATCGATTTTGCCTCAAGCGTTCACGTTCTTCCCATCTTCGATTATGTCATCCTTCAACAGCGTCAACTCATTCATACCAACCCTTGCACAAGTCTTGGGTCCATTTTTAGTCGTACTAGGCTCGGAGATGCTTGTTGACTGGCTGAAACACGCCTACATCAACAAGTTCAACAACAACCGCCCAGCAATCTATGGTCGCTTCCTTGATGTTCTAGCAAAGGACTACTACACCAACGCTTTCGGTGAACAAAACCTCACCCGCCGCATCGGTCTCCCTGTGATTCCACTCTCGTGTCTCTTCTTCAGAGTTTCCGTCCAAACATATCAGATGTTCCTGGCAGCTTTAGTCCCGCAACACCCATCCTCGACTGCAATGGAAGCTACCTCTTTAGCCTCCATTCACAATCACTACGTCCCCGTCCCCGTACCATCTGCCCCACCCTTGACATTCGCAACCCTGCTCCCAGCGTCAGCAGCACATGTCAGCGCCCTCTTCCGCACATTGTTGGAAAATGCGATCCCATCCCCCGCTCAATCCGTCCACATCTTCACCGTCGTCCTCCTCTTAACAGGATTCGTCGTTCTGCTCATCTTGAAACTCCTACTCGGCATGGTCCTTCTCGCCTTCGCCCGTTCCCGCTACAGAAAAATGAAGGGATTGGAGACCGAGGAAAGAGACTCCCACTCCCGTCACTCCGGTCAAAACGGTGCACCTCGCGCACGCGACTTTGATGTCGAGGGTAGTCAGCGTGTTGGCGGGTGGGGCTGTGTGGAGGTCGGAGAGGAGAAGAGAAAGTTGATATATGCGGATGATCCGGATGGTTTGCGCAGGGTCAAGGAGAAAGAAGATAAGGATAAAGGCAAGGATAAAGAACTCAATGTTGACCATGTACAACGATACGAGATGATTGCCAAGAAGATTTGGTGAGGCTTTTTCATGGATTTCTTGGAGACTGTCTAGCATTCAAGAACCTCTCTTTGTTGTTATCGCAGTTTATATCTGGGATCTATGGATGCTTGTACAGTATGATTATGAACTGGCATAGTTCGCTTGAATGGAACATATTACACCACTGCAAAAACTTTAGAACATGTTTCATTGTGAAAAGCTTGGGTTTCTGGGCTCTCTAGAAACACAAGGTGAGACCGGGGCACTTACCACTTGGCAGGCAGCCTTTACTTTTCTGAACACATGCTCTACACTATCTCGGGTAGTAATGGCATGTCGTTTGTAGATCAATATTATGAAGCGTAGCCATTTTGTGCCTTATTTCTGCCTGATTCCACACTCAACCATACATTGTACTGTAAAATGACTGTAAAATGTAGGTTATGTGACAGGACCCACTTGTAATAGATATAACAAGCCTGGTTGGCCCAGTGGAAAAGGCGCTGCGGGGGCGGTTCTAAGCCATCCCGGTTCTGAACCGTGTGGTGGCCTGACTTTCGAGAGACCCTGGTTCGAATCCAGGACCGGACACTTCTTTTTTTTTTTCTTTTTCTTCTCTTTCTTTTTTTCAAAGAACTTCGGCATAGTCTATGTAATGGTAATCCAGGTCTCTGTTTTCTGCGTGTTAAGCCAGGCAAATCAACAACTAGGCAGACATCAGGCATATTGGAGCATCATCAGACCTGGCCACTCTTTTCTCGTTTGCAAATCAATCTTACATCCATGTGGACAAAGTATCGAAAGTCAGATTCGCGGGGGATTAGACAACATCTCTGATCGCATCTCCCACAGGCCCATCGTTGAGTTTGATCTACACTTGAACCTTGGAATCCCCCGAGAACAGTACTCCGAGATCTCAAGATTGACCAATTGGGATAAAGGATAATTATTCACCAAGAAACTTTGCGCCCTCCGTCCGTGAGCTTGACGATCAGCTCGTATTGAGAACGCCTCTGCGTAGTATTTTGCTTGGCATTCCGTCTGATGTTTGATGATTAACTCCTTCAGGACCTCGGAAGACCTTCTTAATCTACAGGATCGAACCATGGCTGTCAAAAGGACGAATATGTCCCTTGAAGTATACCCATGGATGTTGAGCGGAACCGAGCGCCGCATATTGAGGTTTCCACTTGGCCAGGCTAACCATACCTCTTACATAGTACTTTGTACAGATTTGAATCACCCATTTCTCAATCATCTGATAGCCAACACGGAGCTGCACGGGTATCAGGTATCGGGAAAGATCATCCGTGGTCTAGAATGAGGGCTGAATGGAGGCGTAGGGCAGGGCCCAAAGCCCCGGAAAGCATGCCATTCCCAAGAAGCAGTCAGCCACTTCCGGTGATATCATTATGCTTGGTCCACAGTGAGAAGGGAGAATGGAGGATACAATGCTGTAAAACATAATGCGTGGAAGGTGGGGGCCAAAATGCGGGCCGGTCCGTAAGCACATGGGTGTATTCCCTTGGAAGCAACAGGACTTTGCTGGGATTCCAGATGGCTTTGAGTGAGTGATTGATTCAATCTCTTCGAATGTGGCTGACAGGCCATGCGCATATACCAAATCCCCAGATAAATTATCGGACCACTTTGTGAGTTTGTCGGGGCTCTTAGGGCAAACCTTAGTGCCCATATTAAGCCCTGGCCGTTGAATGAAACGTGACTTGCAGACTAATGCAAGCCCTCGCCTGTCGGAGGGGTATGTGTGTCCGACAGTGGTTCCTCGCCCATATGCGATGTGGATCTTCGTTTCCCCACGTGCCTGTTGCGGTATAATTGATGCGGGGGGCCTCAATACGAGGTTGCGTTGCGGGCTTACATCTGGGCATGCGTCATGTTTCGACGCATTATATTAAGGCATTCGAAGCTGCTGACTTCCAAGGGATTGGCAGGATTAAATGCGCCATGTATACTAGTACAAATAAGTAGCTAAGATCTGGTCCGAGAATCTCATTGGTCAAAATCTTTGAGAATTCGTCACATCTACCCTGGCTGCATCCTATAATAGTACCCTTGGAGTGGGGAATCTCATGTCTCAATTGGGTGTCTTCATGCGACGACTTAGCGTCGCTGGAAATGTTTACTGTCCTCTACATTCGACTATACGTTATACATAACTCGAGTCAGCTATGTCAACGACAATCTTTGCGCATTCTACAGAGGTGGATATGTTGAATCAAGAGAGCCAGGTGGATCACTCGATCTTCATGATCAATATTGAAGATGTGCATAAGTGTTGCCTTACTAAACGTGTTCCCCTATCCCTGCATGCAGTCTACCTACACTTTCTGCTGCCGATCGGATCTTGCCATCATGTTGCAGTCCAAATCTCCATAATTCCATTTTCCTTGCGCGGCTTTCAAGGCCAAACCTTTCACTTTTCCGAGGGCACATATGCACCCTGCTGCAATGAAGCCCGAGAATTCGACATAACTTCACCAATGAGTGATTTGGCTGAGGAGATCTATAAAGGATCTGTGCCTTGGCACAAATGGAATATAAGGGCACCGGGATTTTGGTAGTGTTGAAATTCTATATCCTCAAAGACTTTCACAGAACTGACAAGATACACTGCACAGGACTGAGCTTCGCCGACCCTCCGCCGCCCAACCCCTCGATCAATGCACCGAAACATCAAGACGCAACATAGAATACCTGGTGGCCCAGGCACAGATCTTCGAGCCTAAAATCCGAGCACACGACTTACTCATCGACGAAGCAAGCAGTGACATGCAAGAAACCTCGAGCTCAAGTTCGCACACCAGAGCCAGTTCCCGAGATACATCTTCCGAAAGGTTATACTGTGATACCCCGCGACCGCGAAAGAGAAAGCGAAAAGACGAGTCAAGCACCTCCGTCGAAGCCGTGACTGCGACAGCGGATGCGTTCTTGGATCGACTCGGCTCCACCAGCATACCAGACGACGAGATCTCCTCCTACCATGCACTGACAAAGATCAAAAGTCAACCATTATCTCCACGTGGCGAAAATATTTCTCGAGCGTGGGAGATGTGCATCAATTTTGCTCGACGTTCAAATCAGAAGCTCAAATATGGGCGTTTCCTGCGGTTCCTGTCTCTCTGCTTTTTCTTGATATGGGAGAAATACTCGGACAAGCAAGGGAAGAGTGCAGCTCGCGAGGTATGTTGAACAAGATATGTTTTCTTTTTGAAACGAATATCTGCTGAAAGACCATAGGTGAACGCGAAAATGCGGGAAGCTGGTTTCAGCGGCCATTCTCGAGGTCTTAAGACGATGCGTGACGAGACAACACTTATAAACAGAATGGTTGCCTCTATACAAGAGACTTGTGGCCCTAAACAAGCTGCGACGCTGTATCACGTTATATTCGGTAGGTGGGATTTGAAAATGCGATTGTTGTATTGACCTAACACGTTTTGTGTATTAGAGCCTTCGAATTATCAGCTTATCCGCACGATCAATAGACTCGGGAATGAGAAGAAGTCGAGTATATTGGGACATATGTGCAGAAATGCCAGGCTTGAATGCTTTCCCTCGTACTCGAGCTCAACTACTTGCGTGCAAAGCATCATCCAGCAGTATCTTCCGAACTTATCGTGAGTTAAGCATTTTTTTGTTTCTCTTGCTTGTGCTAACGGAAGCGGGAGCAAAGCACCGATGCAATCAATAAAGCCATTGGATATGAACCTCTGAGCGAGACTTGTCTTTTCAGCGAACGAGGCATCAAACCGCCAAAAGCCATGCCTAGTAAGGAACCCTGCTTACTCTCTCGGTTATCTTCTTTTTGTGAATCATTCACACTGATCATTGGTGTAGATGTCCAGATACCGTTCTTTGAAAATGACCTGATTGGCGAGTCTCGGAAACGCCCTCTCACGAATTGCCAGAATATCTTTGGTGAATTCGACATATCAACGATAAATGCAGACGGGGCCACAAGCATCCCTGCCTGTCTGGATACGATGCATTGCGATGATAGCCCATTTCTTCAGTTGCCAAATGTGATAGACGACTTAGAATTCGAATTTCCTTTTAACATGGATACAGATAGCGTGAATGTGGGGTTGAATGTTCTGACCGACGCCGATCACACTGGGTTGGTAACTCCATGATCAACGGTCACAGCACTGGCTCCAATACCTGCGGAGCATGAGAAAAAGCTATGGGGAATAGATTGGCCTAGATATAAGACGAAGGGACTTCTTGTGTGAGAGCACTCTTCATGATATAGATTTGATATTGGACAAAGGAAAGGCGAACTACTCAAGCACAGCGTTAGATCATAGAGAATAGGTCCAGGCCGCTGGAGAGGTTATCCGATTGGTGTGTCATGTGGAAGATGTCTTGCAAATATTGAACTGGAAATTTAGAATAAGGCAATCCCCGTGAAGGCTCGTCTTTCCTCAAACAGCAACCGTGTTTTATCACCGCCATCAAGATTTAACCTGCAGATTGAGCCGCCCAAATCCGCCACATATATGTGTTGATTCCTTTCGTCGATGGCCAGACCAATCGCCTCGTGAAACTTTCGTGCTAAAATCTGGTATTTGAGTAAAGGTGTGTGATCGATGTCCAGAGGATGTCCGTTATCCCCAAACAGAAGACGGTTGAGCGTATTTCCAAAAGGCATCTCTCCCCTGTCGGTCCAATATAGCGCCTTCAGTCCTTCATGGAACGCAAGATCAATGGGCTCAGCGAGACTATTAAGCAAACAGACTTTGTCCGATCTGGTCTCGACGGTCTCGCCGAGTGGGATTTCCATATTTGCGCTGAATATGCGTCCTTGCCAGCCTTTGGGTCCACCCTTCTGCGTCCAGAATATTTTTTTCAAGTTATGCGATAAGGCAACTCCAACGATGAACTTCTGCGCGTCTTTGGATTCATTCTCATCCAAAGCATTGCCGGCTAGAATGACCTTTTCAAGGCTACTGCCGTCCAAGCTGCAGCGCCAGATACAGAGACCCTCGCGGTCTGCAAAGTACAATTTCTCAGCCACGGAGTCAAGTGTGATTTGCTTTGGGGTGTTGATGCTCCCCTTGGTTATGAGTGCGTTGACGTCGCTTCCATCCAAATTAGCCGAGTATATCATACCGTCAGCTTGCCCGGGATATCCCATGCATGTCCAGAATATTCGCTTCAACTCTTTGTGCACGACAATCCCATCCGGGAGATACTGTTTGTCGAATATCGTCCGGACGTGCTGGCCACCCGCGGTATATTCCAGGACATTTCCCATCTGCAAGGTATCGACTTCGCCTGATAAACCGTTGTCCAGAACAAACAACATCGGTCCAGTTGCTCTTGCTCTGTCGGGATAAAACCCGCCTTGTTCACTGTGTAAGCCGAGTTTTCCTTTCTCAATATATTCTTTTTCCAAAAATTCGACCGTCCCCGACATTGGAAGACCTCTTTCATTGGCGAAATTACGCTCAATGCTGGCTACCGTGTCAAGCCCAACCACTATCGTTGTCAGTGTGATTCCAAGCAAAAATAAACCAGAAAAAGGGATAAGAAAGATCTTCCCTACAGTCCATTGCCACAAACGGCCTGGTACCTGGCTTGACAATCGCCTCGAAAAAGATATCATCAGCGGTCTTTGGATCTGCGACTCCCTCTGACACGACCATTAGGAGCTCTCGCTTGATAGCAGCCCATACCCTGTTGTGTATAAAACCGGTTGACTCTTTATTTGCAGTGTAAACTCTCATTTGGGCTTCTTGCATGCGGCATTGCAGGAAATGAAAGATATTGGAGTCCGTGCTTCCACTGGTCATAAGCTCAACGATGCGGACATGAGGGGGCATGAAATAGTGTGTGTTCAAGACCCGACTTCTGGTTCTACCACTCATTTTCAGAGATATAGCGGACGATTTATAAGACGAGGAATTTGTTGCCAGGATGCAATCTGGTGGACACACTTCTTCGAGATCTGAAAACACGTTTTGCTTTATCTCCAAGTTTTCAGGTGCGCACTCGACCACTAGCCATGCATTGGAAGTGGCATTCTTGAGGTCCTCGGCTGTACTGACTTGGCCGGGCTTAGTGGACGAATATTGTTGATAAATTGTCAAGTTCTCGTGGAAGTAATCAACCGCCTCGGAGCATTGCTTGGAGTTGGGGTCCCAGACGTGGACATTGTACCCAGCACAGGCCCAACATGTTGCTTTTTGGTTAGCATTATCAGCATCTTGACTGTGAGGTTGAGACTTACCAATGCGACGGCCCAGCACTCCTGCCCCAACTACTGCTATAGGGCGACTTTTGTAGTCTGATGGCTCATGCCAGGGAGAATTTTGGTCCATTTGTGGTGTGCTCCCTTGTTTTTCGACCCAGTTTGTTTGGATCAACAGATGTAAAAAGGGAGGAAAGAAAAACAATACAAGATTGTATCAGAGTATCAGAGCCTTCATACAGAGAAGATGGAGGCAGACATTGTCAAACCATTTGAACCCTCGTGATTTCTAAAGTTAGGGTGGCTTACAGCAGACATTTGCGGCCTTTGCGACAGGGCACATTATTCCCGCGACATGGAAAAGGGCTCTTTACGACTTTTGAGTAGACTAAAAGCAAGCGAAATAAGTTTTCACAACACTCAAATATCTATCACCAGATTCAATGATGAAAATAGTATATATGACTACTAATATCTGGCAGTATCAAGCATTTGAGTATGCTTGTGGATGCATAATTTGGTGCGAAACGAGTTGATAACGGCCAATGAACCAAGATGCAAACGAAGAGACAATGGACAGCCCTGCACCATGTAACGTCCAAGAACCATACCTCACTTGATTACAAACTGTGAGTCTTTAAATAATGAGGTGACTAAAAGTCTGATATCAAGGACATTAGTTTTGGAACCTGGTATATCAAGACCCGACCGGCAAGAAGATAGTACTGCATGAAGATGAAACAAAATGGATAGCTGCAAATACTCGGAAACTCAATTAATCAACAACCATCGCTTGGAGTTTGAAACGATCGATCTAAAGTGGTAAATCTATGACTGTTAGTCGAGTCACCGTTGCGCTACAACCAGCTCTGAAGAGCTGATGTGGGGCTCGAACATATGGCTATGGAATGTTGGAATAAAGGGCCAGCATTAAATTTGTTTTGAGGGAGTCCAAGTGGTAAATATCAGATAGATATCTATTTTATCAAAGCCTCTTTGGATACCCAGAGGATCTACGACAATTGCCAAGTGCACAAATCAAGATTGTACGTCCAGGCCCAGGAGTCGCCTCCGGTCTGAACATATTACTGGATCATTTGCCCCTTGTCATTATTGTGAGTTTCACAAGCGCACAGCCTAATAGTGCTCGAGATCGTCGCATGTGAGGCAAGATCAATTCGAGAGTATAAGACCCTTCGAAAGTGTTTGCCGCGAGCAAAATCATCACTCCAAACCTTGATCCATTAACATCTTTCTGGCCTTTCCGGGTCAACGACGATGACTGTATCTGATATAACGCCAGGGCCGAGGCCGCTGGCCATCGTGGGAATGTCATGCCGACTCCCAGGGGATGTAGCATCGCTAGGTGATTTCTGGGAACTCTTAACCAATTCCAAAGATGGATATAGGGAGTTTCCCCGTGAAAGATTTAACTCGGAGGCATTCTATCACCCGAATGAAGCACGCAAGGATGCAATTCACGTCAGTCATGGGTATTTTCTCAATGACGATGTCGCCAACTTTGATGCGCCGTTTTTCAGGATGAATGCAACAGACGCTGCAGCTTTTGTATGATCAACCATTCTTCATATTCTTTTTAAATAGCCAGAGCTGATAAATTTTAGGATCCTCAAGGGCGCATTCTACTCGAATGCGTGTATGAAGCACTTGAAAATGCCGGAATCCCAAAAGAGAACATTGCCGGCAAAAAAGTGGGAGTATTCTCATCATCGAATACATCCGACTATACCCTCGAATTGAAAGACAGCGTCTGCGACGTGCCAGCACAGGTAGGAGTTCTCGGCCACAGTTGCATGCTATCAAATGTAGTGTCCAACGTATTTGACCTGAGTGGCCCGAGTGTCAGTGTTGACACGGCATGTTCATCAGCCTTCTATGCACTACAGTTAGCGGCGCAGAGCATACGCTCCGGCGAAACTGAAATGTGCATCGTATCTGGATGCGCATTGAATCTCTCGCCTTGGCGATGGAACATGCTATCGAACTTGACGATGCTCGACTCTGATGGCAAGACGCGTGCGCTTGATCCAGAGGCTGATTCGGGCTATGCGCGTGGAGAAGGTGCGGCTTGTATTATATTGAAACCGCTTGATTTGGCACTGCGTGACAATGACCGTGTTCATTGTGTATTGTCGCACATTGGAGTTAATCATAATGGCAATACCAATGGCTACACGATGCCGGATGCAGTGATGCAAGCCACATTGATGAAGGAATTGCAACAGTCGTTGAATATCCGGCCTGATGAGTTTGGATTTGTCGAGGCGCACGCGCCTGGAACTCGGGTAGGTGATCCTATTGAGATTTCAGCAATTCACGAGGTTTTCTCGAGCGATGCTCGAACGGCCGAAGAGCCGCTGTTATTGGGCTCAGTCAAGGCAAACGTGGGACATTTGGAGTCAGCGAGTGGCTTTCCATCCCTGATAAAGGCTGCCTTGATGTTGAAAAACAATCAAGTCGTACCCAATCCCAATTTCAAAGATGAAAAAATGAATTCAGAGCTGCGCAAGTTGAACATGGCGGTAAGTCTGAAGATCAGATAGATGGTGAGGACGAACTCGAGTACTCATAACAGTCAGGTACCAACCAGCACCCAATCCTGGCCAAAAGGAAAATCATACGTCGCCATCAACAACTACGGGTTTGGCGGGTCCAATGCCCATTGCATTATCAAAATGGCTCCGGAATCGGATACTCCACCGAGCCCGAGTGATGCTGCGACAGATGAGGCCTACCTGTTTGTTCTCTCTGCCAATGATGAGCAGGCTCTCGCGCGGGCCAGAGAAAGATTAGTTGGATTCCTTGAAGACGATGAAGCGGCCAACATCCAGATGGGCGATTTAGCTTATACACTAGGCCAGCGCCGATCGAATCTCAGCTGGCGCTCAGCTCTCGTTGCGACAGAACTGGATGATCTGGCTCTGAGTACGGCTGCACCGCGAGTCGTACAGCGACGTGCTATTCGCCCGCCCAGAATTGCTTTCGCATTCACAGGACAGGGTGCTCAAGGATTTGGCATGGGACGTGAACTGCTGCAATATCCAGTCTTCGCCCAGTCACTCGAAAGATCCTCGTCTTGTGTTCAATCATTTGGTGCCACATTTTCCCTGAAGGAGGAACTGTATGCATCCGAGGCCACTTCGCGTATCAATGACGCCGATGTAAGCCAGGCTGCGTCGACGGCAGTCCAAATTGCCCTGGTGGACCTTCTACGGTCATGGGGAGTAGAACCCGCTGCAGTTGTTGGCCATTCCAGTGGTGAGGTTGCCGCTGCTTATGCTGGAGGCATTCTCTCGCTACCTGGTGCTATGCGTATTGCTTACGCACGAGGTCAGATGGCCATCAGGATCAAGACTGTCCAGCCAGATTTCAAAGGCGGCATGATGGCTGTCAGTGCCGGCATGGAAGACGTTGCTCCTCTGTTGGACATCGTCATTTCCGGAACAGTGGTCGTTGCGTGCGAGAATTCCCCTAAGTCACTCACGGTATCAGGGGAAAGCGCAGCATTGGATGAGTTGGAGACGTTGCTTGAGGAGGATGGGATACCCCACAGGCGGCTTGCGGTTGACTTCCCATATCATTCGCCATTCCTTGAGCCATTCATTGACCAATATGAAGAGGACATATGCACCGAAGACACTTTCGTGACGACTGAAACCAACAAAGTTGAGTTCTTTTCAGCCATGGCTGGAAGGAAAGTCGACCCCATTGCGGTCAAGAAGCCCTCCTATTGGGCAAGTAGTGCCAAATTCCGGGTGCGATTCACATCCGCCGTGAATGCGCTTTTCAAAAGCAAGTCTCCACCAGAAGTGGTGGTCGAGATCGGTCCTAACCCGACGTTGACCTGGGCCATGAAAAGCATCCTGAAAGCGCTTGGGAAGCAAGCACCAGCCTCAATGGAGGCCCTTCCATCACTTCACCACGGTGAAAACGCCCGTACTGCCATGCTTAGGCTTGCCGGTTCCCTATTTGGGCTGGGTCAAGGGCTCGACATGCATCAAGTTAACTTCGGACACATTGAAGCCAATGGATCGTCCCCACGCCTGGTTGACGGGTTGAAGCCATACCCGTGGACACGCAGCCGCTACTGGGTTGAGTCCCGACTTCGAGATGACAGACTGAACCGGCCATTCCCTCGACATGATCTGCTGGGACATGCCACCAGTCACTCTGAGGGTGTTGAAATGTCCTGGTCTAACAACTTCGACATCGACGATATGCCGTGGCTTCGCGACCACCGGGTTGGGTCCTCGATCACCTTTCCACTCGCTGGTTATATATGCGCTGCGGTGGAGGCTAGCAAACAACGTAGCATGATCAGGGGAAAAAGCACCGTTACAGGGTTCACCGTACGCGATGTACGCGTGGAGCAGGACCTGATTCTTCAAGAAGGGGTGCGCGTCGATCTTTCCATTAAGCTCCGACCACTTGAAACAAGCGACTTTGATGAGTTCAAATTATTGGCCTGGGATGGAGAGCAGCAGAGGTGGAATCTGCACTGTCGCGCACTCGTCAAGTGCCATGCCAAAGACGCGGAGACGAGACCGACGCGGTGGGGCGAAGCGCGCGCCGAATGTCCCGCCCACGTCGGAAGCCCACTGCTTTATCAAGGCTCAGCAAAGACAGGTCCACGCCGTACTGGCACATTCCGTAATGTGTACAACCTCCGATATGGAAGTGGAAAAACCACAGCAGAGGTAGTTGTCTCTGACACTGAGGCTGGGATGCCTCACCAGTACGAGACTGGCTATACCATCCACCCAACAACATTGGACGGCATCCTGCAGTGCGGGAGTTACATTCCTTTCCTGGATCCAGCGTTTGCTCCCATTGGAGCTTCAAGCAACGTCTGGGTTCCTAGCACAGTTGCAGAGGTTGTGCTTGGGGCAGAGATTCCTCGCGAGCCGGGCCTCGTCTTACACGCTGTGGCCCACTCAGAGCAGCCTCCACAAAAGTTTGGCGGCAAATACGCTATCAACGCTGGATTGAAGGGCTCTCTGAAAGACACGGTTCAGGTTCGGGGTCTCGGTTTCGATGTCGACAGAGGCCTTCCCCCGCGCTGGCCCGATGCGCACTACGGATGCTACAAGATGGATTGGCAGATTGCTGGTCAATTGGCAGCAGACGCAACCAAATGGCATGTCGTGCAGGGGTCGGAAGAGAATGATGGCTTGGCCAACGTTTTAGGAAAGATCTGGGGCACTCCTGTCTTGTCTATCTCTCAGCCACTGCCCACTGAAGCCAAGTTCTGCGTGATATGCGATATCGGCGAAGGCTTGTTGGGAAATGTGGACGAAGCCACGTTTGAAAATCTCAAAAATATACTCACCAACTGTGATGCTGTTGTTTGGGTAACCCGTGGCGCCTTCCATCACACAACAAACCCGACTGCGGGAATGGCGGCTGGGTTGCTGAGGACGATCCGCAGCGAGATGCAGGCTGCCGTTGCGACCCTAGACCTTGATCCACATACGACCATTGATTCCACAGCACAGGCAAAGCTAGTGGAACGCGTGGCTGGACATACGGCAAAGGCGGCAAAGAAGAGCGATTCTCAAGCAGAGATGGAGTTCACTGAGAGCGATTCTCAGCTCCTTGTCTCGCGTATCATACGCGACGATCACCTTGATGCAAATGCACATGCTGCCACCGGCATTTTGTCCCCCCAGGATGAGGCGTTTGACCCCGAATCACGCCTCAGCTTTGGATTACAACGTCCTGGTTTGGTCGATTCCTTGTATCTTCATCGGGTAGACTCTGTCTCGCCCCTGGACGATGAAGAGGTGGAAATCCAAGTCGCAGCAATTGGGCTTGGGGCTGAAGATTTCAAAGCTCTTCAAGGGCGCGAGTGCAGTGGTACGGTAGTTGGCTGTGGCGCAAAGGTGACACGCATGCAGGTTGGTGACAAGGTCTTCGGGCTGGCGAATGGTCAAGGTGCATTCGGGACGTTCGCTCGCTCACATCAATCAAATTTCGCTCTGATGCCCGCGTCAATGACACTCCGAGAATCTGCAGCTTTGGCAACTACGTTCGGAGCTGCGCAACTCGCTGTCGCCGAAGTCGCTCGAATTCGCGAGGGTGATAGAATTGTTGTCCTTGCGGCCGCATCTGCCGGGGGTCAAGCGGTGGTCCAAGTCGCGAAGGCAGCGGGTGCTTGCGTCTACGCTGTTGTTGACTCGCATTCTGCTCGTGAGACACTTTTGGCACTTCGCCCTACAGCCGACTACATTGTTGAGCATCTTGACGACTTACCACAAGTCGAGGTAGTACTTGATCCCATTCCCCGCCCTGCAAACATTTTATCTACATCTCGGATCTTGGGGCCCCTGGGGCGCTTCATCCAATTTGGAAGCCTGGTTAGAGACTCGGCGCGCAACTCCAATGTTGGTTGCAGCGTTGCTAGCGCTCCTCTGTTTGATGTTGCTGACTCTCAGCCGGCCCGCATTGCCGCCGTCCTGGATTCTGTTGCGAGCTTCTTTGATCTAGGGACTTTCGGTGCCCCCACCCCGGCTCAAAGCATTCGGTTAGATCAATTGCCTCAGATTATCTCTACTGTCTCCTCTAGCGATGAACTCAGAACGGTTCTTGTGCCGGTCAAAGGGGAGGTAGCAAAGGTACCCACTGATCATTCTCATTTCCGAAATTCCATCCCACTGACTTCTACTTAGATTATGCCCGCGCGACCTGCCTCGCCCAACCTCGACTCTGAGGCTGTCTATCTACTCGTCGGTGGTGGAGGTGGCCTGGGCCGTGTCATTGCCAAATGGATGGTTGATAACGGTGCCAGAAAGATCGGCTTACTGTCGCGAAGTACCTCCATGAGCTCTGAGGTGCACGCCCTCGCAGAAAGTGTTTCCAAGTTGGGAGCCGAGATCTTTTTGTTGCCTTGCGATGTTACCGACAAAGAACAGTTGCAGCAAACGGTTCGGCAGTGTGCTGCCGAAAAGGGCGCCATCAAAGGAGTTATCAACGCCGCCATGGTCTTCAAGGTATGTTCAACTAGGTCATTTTCTCATTATTGAGCCATGTAAGATCTGATGAAATCAAAAGGGTGGTGTTTTCAGCTCAGTATCTCACAACGATTTCAACACTGTCATTCGGCCGAAGGTTCATGGCACTTGGAACCTTCATAATGCCCTCGCTGATGCACCTCTGGATTTCTTTGTGCTGATTTCTTCCGTTGCCGGCGTTGTCGGTACACCTGGGCACTCATCATATGCAGCTGCTAATACTTTCTTGGACTCATTTGCAAGATACCGCGTTCAGCAAGGCCTTCCCGCTACCGCCCTTGCTCTAACCGCAGTAGTGGACGCTGGGTACATGGCTGAGAATGCGGAAAAGCTTCAAAAACTGAAGTATATTGACGATTACGAAGGAGAAATTCTCACCACCCAAGACGTTCTCGCTCTTCTCTCTGCTGCGGTGTCTGGAGTGACCGCTAAATCCTGCGATGGATTCTCTATCACTGGTGCAGGGTTCGGCGCTGCGCGCAAACTTCCATCCTATGCCAGGGACCCACGATTCTCCAGTCTTGTGACTCGCCATGCCAAAGATCAAGAAGCGAATCCAAGATCGGCCCACATTTCAAGCGAAAATTCTCTGTCGCGTGTGCTTGAGCAGACAGACAACAAAGCTGAAGCTTCCAACTTGCTCTTGAATGCTCTCCGAAACAAAGTGGCTGAATTGCAACTTATTTCCGTGTCAGACATTACAGACAACCAAACAATTGTCGAACTCGCCCTCGACAGCTTGACAGCCATGGAAGTCTACTCATGGATTGGGCGAATCTTCCATGTCAAGTTCAAGGTGCAGGAATACGCCAAACTCGACACACTCGAAAAGATTGTAGAAAGTGTCATGGCTAAGAGAGACGCCGCTGGAGTTTAGTTGACGTGCGTGTATATTTTATCAACATCAGCCTCGAACATACTTATTAGTTGCATATACTTTCAATTCCACCTTTCAGACCATAAACCCCAGCCCTCGAGACTGCAGAGCTTGGAATTCCGGCAATTTGAGTTATTCATAGAGACTTGCGCAATAGATGCGCTGGAGATATCCAAACGCCGTGGATCAGCTCGCAGGAGCTGTTCTTTAATTAGAGCCAAGATCGCCCCACGTTCAATGGCTCTCTCCAGGTATGTAAAGACAGTAGTCGCGCTGGTTTTCTGATACAGTGTTCACGGCGAGCTCAAGAATGAACGCTCTGGAGGGAAAAGTTGCTATTGTCACCGGTGCATCGCGGGGCATTGGGGCCGCGATCGCGCTGGATCTCGCCAAGCAGGGCGCCAAGGGATGCCAACCTTACGATACAACATGCACACACTAACAACCAACGCAGATAGCAATTACATTTGTATCCAATACAAGTGAGCCAGCTGCAGCAGAAATTGTCTCCCAGATCGAGAGTCTTCGGAACGGGGCAAGTGCAATCAAAATACAAGTCGACATCGGGCATATCGACGCGCCTCGCATCATCGTTGATCAAACACTAGCAGCATTTGGCCCGAGCATTGATATCCTGGTCAACAATGCCGGCACAAGTGTGAGAAAGCCATTCCTCGAAACAACTCCTCAAGACTTCGACCAAAGCATCAATGTGAACTTGCGAGGGCCCTTCTTTCTTTCGCAAGCCGTCGTACCCCATCTTCGTCGCCCGGGGCGAATCATCAACATCAGCTCCATCGTCTCGCGTAGCGGTGGGCCCTTGTATGGTGTCTACACTGCATCCAAGGCTGGATTGGAGGCCTTCACACGATCCCTGGCTGCCGCTATCGGCCCCAGCGGTCATAGTGTTAACTCGGTTCTGCCTGGTTTGACAGATACGGATATGCTGAAAAGCCTGACGGAAGACGAGGAATCCGCCAACTATCATCGAGAAGTTGCATCTATAACGCCAATGGAAGGACGGGTCGCGTCCGCAGACGAGATCGCGCGCGTCGTCACGCTCCTTGCGAGTCCACAAAGTCAGTGGATAACGGGGCAATCTATCAGTGCTACAGGTGGCTTGCTTATGCTATGAAATGTGCAAACTGGCTTCTTTCCATGCCATGGTCTAAGATAAATGGAAAAGTCACTCTTGATTGGCGGGTGCTATAGTCAAAGGCAGTCATCCTTATTTGCCCGCCATTTCTAAAATCCTTGCGCATATCTGATCATTCTCAGACGTCTGAATGGGTATTCGGTGATCACCTTCCCACTCAAGCAAAAATCTTGCGTCGGCTGAACAATACGTATCGTAAAGCTTCCTTTGCGACGGAGCCCATTCATCTTCAACTCCTATCACATGAAGTGTCGGTCTCTCAATTGATAATTCTCCATAAGGATTGACCTTTTCCATATCCTTCAGAGCTTTTTCCAAATCCTCCAGAGAGGCCCCAAGTTCAGTCGGATTCTGCAATGGCAGATTGCCCGTTTCCGGCGATAATGCGACAAGCGGCGCAGGAGCGGCAAACAAAGCAGCGAACTGCCAATTCTGACTCCAAAGCGTAGATTCCGAAGTCCCCTCATATCCTGTAATAGGTACACCCTTTTCTTTTGCTTCCTGGCGTCTCTGAGACTCGAATAAAATGGAGGCACTCAGTCTCGCACCCTGGCTGAAACCCAGCAGGCCAATCCACGGCCCACAACCTCCGGATTCATCATCTTGAGCCATTGCATCTTCAAGACATCTTCGAATGGCTTCAACTTGAAATTTCGGCTTCAGTACCCGATGTGATTCAATCCAACGAAGCCATCTTCGATATGGATCTGCACCTGCGTATGCAGGGAGTACTCCAGGGCCAGCTTCGGAAAAGAAGGGTCCATTTGCGAAAACGAAACGGAATGATGAGGAGAGCTTTTCGCGCAAAGCTCGTGTTTGGAGGAGTAAGATGTCTGCGTTTGATCCAACACCTAGTGTTATGAGTTGATTAGCTGGTCTGTAGTATTGTGTGGTTAGAGTAATAGCTTACCATGGAGGCAAAGAATGCGAGGGAGGTTATCTGTTTCAGCCATCATCCAAATTGTCGAAACTACCTTTTACTGTATTTCTAGGTGACTTCCACACAAACTTTCCCTTTGTGTAAAATTAAGTGGGTGGGACTGCCTGATATATATTGTCACCTGGGTAAGCAGTGTCCAGCATTCACTTAAGTAATTCTCCAACTTTGAACTTGAGAAGTACTTGAGCACCCGTGGATGCCTCAAAGTTCTGAAGTGACAAATAGTGGACCGAAAGAAAGTCCTCTGAGCCCCCGGGGCCACAGCGCACCCAAATGGGTTCGGCTTGGGGCCTGTGCTTCAGCCCCGGAGCAGAGCCGCCCGGGCCTCGACGGCCCGGCCCATACTTGAGTACATAGCCCACTGCCTAGGTGCTCAAGTGCGGGCTACTATAGAAGCCTTATTCCTCAGGCAGGCATAGAAATTAAAAGAAACAACCAGGTTTCCAATCAATAAATACTCCCTTCTCCATCTCCAGAGTTATCTGTCTTTCTGCTTAGTGTTGTACCCATGATACGGAGTACTTAAATGGTCGAATTGTCTTTACAGGCTGGGGCGCAGACGGCCCCTGAGCTAAGGACGCACCCCTGGACTAGAAACTTCAGAAATTCATAAGGCTGGAAGAGAAAGACGAACTACATTCCAATGCGAAATTGAGTATGGATCCTGACGTTGTACGAATGTACAATATTGCATTATACAGAAGGCATCCCTTGCATGTCTGCCGTGTTGTGTAACATGCGAATCAACGCCTCGATAGCCCAGCTAGGCAATAGAATTGACACTCAAAACATCCAAACTCTTAATTAAAGGCGCCCGGCCTGTTCATACTAGGCTAGCACTTCATTAAGCTCTATCACTAGTTGAAGTGCCCGCGATCATGGTGGTACTCTCCCCGTACGTTGCGCTGGCACTCGTGCCTCTTGCTTTTGCGTGTGATTCTTGTGAGGAAGGAGAAAAGTCGGCCTATCCTAGATTCACTCGTCGCATGCAGCCTGAGGCCGAGGATGCCGTGACACAGCCAAGAGGACCTTTAACTTGGGGCGAGATCAATTTCATCCACACGAGCGACAGCCACGGATGGCTGGAAGGCCATGTCAAGGAACGCAATTATGGTGCGGATTGGGGCGACTTTGTGTCTTTTGCAAAGCAAATGAAAGATCAGGCCGCGAACAAAAGCGTGGATCTGCTTCTGATCGACACAGGTTTGTCTTCTCTTTAACTTGCGTTTTGATCGATGTTGACGGAAATTTGACGGCAGGCGATTTGCATGATGGAAATGGCCTCAGCGATGCGACCGACCCCAATGGCAAGGTCACGAATCCCATCTTTCAAAATATCGACTATGACCTTTTGACCCCCGGAAATCATGAATTGGGCGCAGTGGACGTTGCATACAATACATTCACCGATTTCACTGCTGTTTACGGTGACAGGTATCTGACAAGCAACATCGATATTTGCAAAAACTGCCAGGAGAGTGAACCAGATGAGAAGGAATGGGTGGCGATGGGCGGCAGATTCCGACACTTCACGACAAAACAGGGCCTCCGAATCATGGCATTTGGTGTCATCCTCGATGGAACAAACAACAACAAAGACATGACGAGGATCCAGCCAGCCAGCGAGATGATACAAGAAGATTGGTTCAAGGAAGCAGTCAATCGTCAGGACATTGATCTCTTCGTGCTGATTGGACACAACCCAGTGAAATCTGGTATCCCCAAAAGTGAAAGCACCTTTCCTCTTATAATGGAGACCCTCCGTGGACTGCGACCTGAGATTCCTGTTCAGGGTTTTGGAGGCCACACACATCGTCGCGATTTCCGTATCTTTGATCCTATGTCCTCGGCCATAGAGTCTGGAAAGTATTGCGATACAGTGGGCTGGATTTCTTTGGATGGCATCAAATCTCAACCCGCCAATAAGACTGCGAACGCTCAATCTCAAGATTCCCAGATCGACAAGCGAGGAACAGCAGACGAATCTTGCAGCAAAACCAAGAATTTCGACATGCAATTGACCCGGCGATACTTGGACTGGAACCGGCTCACATTCGCCTACCACGCAGCTGGATCACAGAATATTCTTGATTCATCTGAAGGACTTGCTGTGACCAAGGGGATTGAAGACAGCCGCAACGATCTCAATCTCACTTATGTGTACGGATGCGCACCCCAGACATACTGCATCTCATGCAAGCCAGCTGGCGACCCGGGAAATATCTACACCCTTGTCGAAACAGCCGCATCGGCAAAGGTGGTGAACCCAGATCGCTCCGCAAATTCGCGGATGGTCATCGTCAACAGGGGAGTTGTCCGCTACGACCTAGTCCAGGGCCCGTTCACCCTTGATGATTCCTATATCGTTTGCCCATACCACAATGCCTTCAATTACTTCCCCGACGTTCCATACTCGCTGGCATCAAAGGTACTTGAGACCCTGAACAAGCCCAAATCAACTACCAAGCGATCAACAATGACTGTGGACACAATCTCGAGCCAAATGCTGGGCTATGACGAGTGCGACAATCCCTCCCCACACAATGGGACGGAGCTTCTCAAGCCGAAAACCCTTTTCCGTCGTGTCCTTGACGAAGATGCCCTGACACAAGGATATACAACATGCGATGATCTCGGTGGTGATGGTGACGATACTCCTCATTCGGAAATCCCGGAGTATGATCTACCAGGACATTTCCAAGCTACCGCTGGTTTCCCGGAGGATGGTCAGCCTGATACAGTGGATGTGATCTTCTCTGACTTCCTTGCTTCTCGGATTGCTAATGCTTTGAACTTGGAGGGCCCGTCGAAGAATTATACGGAGGATGATAGTCGTCTTTACCTTCCGGACTTGACTACGAACACATTGATCCCTGCATATGCCTTGACGGAATGGCAGGACAACATCAGTGAATGCCCGATTTCAGGCTAGGTTGGAGACTGTCAAGGGAAATCTGACATAGTAAAGTAGAATCTGGAGATAAAGAGGAGGGAGTTTAGTTTGGGGGTTTTATGCAAATGCATTATTCAATGAAGTACTTGACCTCGGGAGTATCTCAGGCAGGTCAAGACTTGACATTGCAATGTATCTCAGTTGATCAAGAGTACTGCTCAATTGAGACTTGAGACTTCTTCCACTGCCGGCTATTTCCTTTCTCGTTTTCTTCCTAAATATCAGCTTCCTTACCTTACCTTCACTCTTCCACACCTTCACTCTTTCGCTTCTTTCACTTCACGACGCCTCGGCATTTATCTTTCAGCTCAAGAACTCCACTTTCAAACCTTGCCGCTCTCACCATATCTCCAACACAGCCAACAAGATGCCCGTCACCATACGAGTCACAGATTATGCACCATCCAGATGGAGGGGGGACCGGGTTTCTGGGTTGAAGTCCATCTTCAAGGACGGGGACATGGATCCCGAAAGCCTGCTTGAGAGCTCTTTGACTAAAGCCTCCTTTGACGCTTCGCACATCTCTTTGTCGCCCAATGGATTTGTCTGTGCTGTCCTCGAGGCCTACAACCATCGTCACAACTTGATCCTCCGACCACAGGATGTCTGGTTTGCCATCCTCAGCCAAATAGGCATGTTCAATATCCGTGACAACGAGTCTGATCTGCAATCTCCTCGTGAGAAAATTCCTCACGAGAAGAAGAAAGTAGTGAGTGTGACCGTTGGAAGAAGGAAGAGTTTTGACTGTGGGGAAATGACGTCGCTCATGACTGATCAATTTAAACACGCCCTGCCAGACAGCTGGGGCGAAGATCTAGAGGAATGGTATAAGCCGCCCTTCGCCTCCGCTACCCACTCCGACAAAATGGTGGGATCTTTGTTGACGATGGGAAACATGCAAAAGTATTGCGATTACGCCGTCAGCCGCACCTGTGGTATTCCTTCCGTTACACTTCTCGGGGAGAGGGAGGATTGGGTGAACCTCTTCACAAAGGTTGAAGCAATCCCTTGGGCTGGAGATGAGGTGGCAAAGTTTTCAAATATTCTTCAACCCGTCTTAGATCGTTTGATTACCTCCTTTGAGGAACCCAAGTCCTCCGAGGTACAGAGACTTTGGGCCAGATGTGTTCATGGTCGCGGTGACGGAAGTTGGGCAACACAGTTGACGGGATGGATCACCGTTTTCTGTTTCTGGGACGAAAAAGGGAGATTGCCTCGCGGTATCCCGAATCATATGACTGGAGATTTGCAGCTAAGAGCCGAGGAGGAAGATCTTCTGGAGGCTCTATGTGGCGAAGTCGACTTAAAAAGCATAAGTTGGGCAACACAGTTGACGGGATGGATCACCGTTTTCTGTTTCTGGGACGAAAAAGGGAGATTGCCTCGCGGTATCCCGAATCATATGACTGGAGATTTGCAGCTAAGAGCCGAGGAGGAAGATCTTCTGGAGGCTCTATGTGGCGAAGTCGACTTAAAAAGCATCCCCCGTGGCTACTCCACCGTGCCTATCAATCTTAGGCGTGGTCTAGAAGAGAAGCCTAACACGATCATGGTGGGTGGGTCAGTCGGTATCAAAGCCACTGCGTCGAGTAGACAACCCTCTGGCGAAGCCGAGAATGCGCTACGGAATTTGACTTCTCCCTCCCACGAAGATCGATGCTTGCTTGACACGATTCAGCCACTGTCTGCCTGGTGGATTTACAAAACGAAATAAGGGGGCGTTCAGGAGATGAAGAGCTAGGTGGATCTTTGAGATGGAGCTACGCCAAGAGCGTTGCTCAATTGACTTCTATCTTTACCTTGCTCTTGACAAAAAAATATTCCTATTCTGAGACAATTCATCTGAATTAAACATGGCACTTATCACTTGCATCAACTCTAAACTGCTTGATCGCTATTGTTACTCGGGAATCTGCAGCAAAAATTGAGCACATATGTGTGCCGGGGCATTAAGTTAAGAACAAAACGCAGTTTTTATTTCAACTCCGCTGAATCGGTCCCTCGTTACATTGTAGATCCAGTATATACAAATTTTATTGCGTAACTAAACGTCTTCTTAACCCATGCTAGAGCACTGCATCGATGCTTGGAAATTGGCCAGCTTAGCTCTCTCTCTCTCTCTCTCTCTCTCTCTCTCTTCTAACCAGTACAGACACTACTCCAGCAGTATTCTGTTCCTATAGCCCTTCCCCGCTGAAGATACCAAACGGAGGACAAACATACGTCATTTCCCCGGAAAATACCCCGTGAGCCGTGGCCAGCTGACGTAAGCCTGCTGATCGTCCGCTGGGACCTGCCGCGATTGTCTCCAGCCATTGCATCCCTTTCTATTGAGACTGGACGACAAGCGAAAGCGGAAGGGAACCGACTGAGTTCACTGCGGGGAGATAAAGAGAGAGAAGGGAGAAGCTAAAAGGCCGTGAGCTATCTACATATGGGGTTTGGGGCGAATACCCTATACAACACTTTCTAACCAAGTCGCTTTCTGACCAAGTCAATGGCCGCCAACAGCTCTCCAGATTACAAATCTCTTTATCTGCAGGAACAGGAGAGGCGGAAGCAGGCAGAAGATGAGGGCAGACAGGAGAAAGAGAAACGGAAGCAGGCAGAAGATGAGGGCAGACAGGAGAAAGAGAAACGGAAGCAGGCAGAACATGAGGGCAGACAGGAGAGAGAGAAACGGGAACAAGCTGAAGCGGACACCCGACCGACCAACTTCGTGGAGTTTTTGTCCCATTCCCACAACCTGCTCTGTCGACCGCTGAGAGCCGACACACCATCTCGTTCGACCACAGGGAAATTACCCCTTCCCACCGGGAAATATTGCCCAACACGGTTGGAGCACTGGACCGACTGCCCACAACAACTGTCGGAGCTCTACAGGTCCGTCTATAGCTACCTTCAGTTGACACCAGGGGGGGCGCCACGTTTGTTCTCATCCTTGCATCAGTTACAAGGGTTAGGCCAACGACTTTGTCGTAAGCCTATAAGCTGTGAGCAAGAACTCGAAGCCTATGAGCGATTCGCCGTGGAAGAACATGTCCACGATATAGTTTCTGAGCTGTGCAAACTACCCGCTGCTCGCGACGAGCTCTGCCTTGGGGATGGCATCCAGTTCAGCCACCATACTAATTCCCTGAATGACAACGATACCACTGAAGCGGATGCAAGCCAACCGTCAAGTGTACCTAACCCAAGACCGGATCAGTTCTGCATCCATCGTGTCGACGGCAACACTGAAACTCTCCTCACCACTGTCGAGTATAAGCCGCCTCACAAGCTTCCCGTATCAACCCTTCGGATCGGGCTTCGACCAATGGACTTATGGAAGGATATGGTCAAATCGAATAAAATGCCTACGAACAAGGAAGCGAAGTTGAGGTATAATGCAGAGCGCCTCGCCTGCTCGGCTATTGTCCAGGAGTACCATGTGATGATCCAGGAAGGGCTCGAGTACTCATATGTGACCAATGGGATTGCTCGGGTCCTCCTCCGTGTTCCATATGATGATCCTAGTACGCTTTATTACTTCCTATGTGATCCTAACAGCGAGGTAGATGGAGATGCTGAAGATATTTTACAACAACCGAAGACTTCTGTTGCGAGAGCCCTATGTCTGTGTTTGATGGTCTTTCGCTCATCTGCACGTGGCCAGGAATGGCGAAATTCCACTCGTCCAAAGCTTCATCTTTGGACGACCGGTTTTGACCACATTCGTTCTCAGATTCCCAAAGGAGAACTGCAGCAGACCCTTGCCCACTCCGATAGTACAGTCCTGGATAACACAAGTCCGGAATCCGGTTCGTCTTATGAGCCTCCGTCATCTCCGCCGGATTCTCCAACGACAGCAGCTCGCCGATTACCTACAAGGTCTCAGGCCAGTTGTGCACCGTCGGGTGTACAGCATCGCTCGCAATCTCCAGACTCATCAGGCTCCGATTCGAACCAAGCAGTAGGCCGCAAAAGGGGCTTCAGCCAAGTTACATCCTCCCCATCTGCCCAACGAGCAGGTCGTCAACGGGACCCGGGGGATAACCAAGGCAAACAGGCGCCATATAGCAATGCACAATTTTGCACACAGCGATGTTTACTCGGATTGCAGTCTGGCGGTGCTCTAGACGACCGCTGTCCAAATGTGGTGCTCCACCGTCGAAGCAAAGACGATCTCCAACATCCGATTACCTCAGAAGATTTGGTGCGTTTACTAAAAGAACAATTGGACGAAAATATTGACCGATGCACACCCCTTGGAGGGTGCGGGGCGTACGGTGCACCTTTCAAACTTACTTGTGTCGTATATGGCTACACTGTCGTCGGAAAAGGAACCACTTCAGGGCTATGGAAAGAAGTCTCTCGCGAAGCGCAGGTATACCAAATTCTGCGCAAGGCCCAAGGGTCTGCTGTGCCTATTTTCCTGGGTACGGTCGACTTGGCGAAAATTTATTTTCTTCATGGAGCTGGAGAGATTCGTCATATGCTCGTGATGGGCTGGGGGGGAGAAAATACAGCATCGATGGAGCTGGCGCCTTGGCTCCGCCAGGAAATTCGCAGATCAAACAAAGAAATCAAAGCCTTGGGAATCATTCACGAAGATCTACAGCGCGACAATGTTCTTTGGAATGAAGAACTTGGCCGAGCATTGATCATCGATTTTCACAGGTCCACATTGAAATGTCAACCGACCTTGCAGCGATCACGAGCGGCAAAACGACAGCTATGTCAGCCAGAGACAGGAGATCCAAAACGTTTGCGTATGACATGAGACGTGTGCTTAATATTGTAGTAGTGTCAAGTGGTCCTATATTATTAGCTAGCAAGCAAGAGACTTAATACATAGCTGCTGGAATATCTGGATCTGGACGCTAGAATATTTGAAGATTTCATATTAATTTTGTAATCCAATAATATTCAAATCTAACTGTCTCAATGTAGTGATAGTCTTGACACAGTTTGACATGACTGTATTCATCACAACACAGCTATGTGGCAGTAGTTTTGAAAATTGCATACGCGACAAGCTTTGTCGAAACTGTTTTCGGGTCAAAAACTGTCGGAAGATTGTATGATTACGGTCTTAAAAAACCCCTATTCTCCGCTATAGCATCTTCAACATTGTCTCCCAGCCTTGGAAGTGTGTATTCCCAAAAAGTATTTTTGTAGATGATGAACGTGCGAAATGCGCTCTTAAGAGCTGGTGCAGAAGGACTCGAAGGGCATGAGTAGAACCGCATGTCTCTTCAACAAATCCATATGCCCAAGGAATGAATGCTTCATACTCAACATTGGATATAAACTGAGCGCGACTGAAATGAAACTTGCACAGTCAATCCTTTGTGCTTTGAAAGTATGGACTGAGAACATCCACAGCCCCGGCGCCGCTGATGTCGCCAAGGCCAGCCCCGTAAGCAAAGGCCCCGAAGCAGACTACAATTACTCTTTTTCAAGATTCTACCTCTGCTCTGTTTCCGAAACTGCCCTTATTCCGGGGCAATAGATGATTAAAAGCCGATTTGAACATATATCCAGAAACTCTGGACGAAAGTATTCTATTCCAACCTTTTGAAAACAACTCATTTGATCAAGATGCCGCCAAACGGCCGCCAACGAGATGATACAATACCCATAGCGGTAGTTGGAATGAGCTTCAGAGGTCCAGGGGATGCCACAGATGCAGAGGGCCTTTTACGCATGGTGGCTGAAGGACGCGAAAGTCGGTCCCCAATTCCAAGGGAAAAATGGAACCATGAAGCATTCTACCACCCTGATTCAAGTCGACATGGAGCTGTAAGTACTTTGAAACAAGCCACTCCGAGCCCCGAGACTCGCAATGTCTAACTCAGACGAAGCACAACGTCGAATATGGACATTGGTTCCAGCAAGATGTGTATGAGTTCGATGCGCCCTTTTTCAATATATCAGCACCAGAGGCAGCTGCACTCGATCCTCAACAGCGCATGCTGCTGGAATGCTCATATGAAGCATTCGAAAATTCGGGTACACCGATGTCCCGGGTCATTGGCACAGACACATCTGTCTTCGCAGCTTGTTTTGCGACAGATTATACAGACATGCTTTGGAGGGACCCGGAGACGGTGCCTACATACCAGTGCACAAATTCTGGATTCACGCGAGCAAATATGGCAAATCGCATATCCTTCTCTTTTGATCTGAAAGGAGCGAGTGTCACTGTTGACACGGCATGCTCTGGGGGGTTGACTGCTTTGCATCTGGCATGTCAGAGCTTGTTGACAGGGGACTCGAGACAGGCAATTGCAGCTGGATCGAGTCTCATTCTAGGCCCCGAAGTCATGATCACAATGAGCATGATGAAGTGAGTGGATAAGCGAGTTCCAGCTATTCAAGCATTTGTAGAGTTTAGCACAAACTAACCTTAAAATCAGGTTTTTGTCGCCTGATGGAAGATGCTACGCTTTTGACGAGCGGGCGAACGGTTATGCAAGAGGAGAGGGTGTCGCCGTATTACTTTTGAAGCGACTCGATGATGCCCTCGCTGACGGTGACACCATCCGAGCAATAATCCGCGGCACAGGGTGCAATCAAGATGGAAAGACGCCGGGCATCACCATGCCAAATGGCGCTTCCCAAGAGGCTTTAATCCGATCAGTCTATCAGAAGAATGGACTGGATCCGTTGGAGACATCATACGTTGAATGCCATGGGACAGGAACCCAAGCCGGTGACACAACCGAGACAGGAGCTTTACAAAGAGTGTTTTGTTCAGATCGCCAGCTCAACAATCCGCTCGTTATAGGGTCCATCAAAACAAATATCGGCCACCTTGAAGGGGCCAGTGGACTTGCCGGTATCATCAAGTCAATTTTAATGCTGGAGAACGGGATAATTCTCCCACATCGCAATTTCGAAACTGCGAACCCGCGGATTCCGCTGAGGGAGTGGGCGCTCCGTGTAAGTATCTCATGAAGACATATATATGGATTAGTACTGATTGACAATCGCCAGGTTCCAACCGCCATCGAGCCCTGGACTTGCTCTGCGCCTCGGCGGGCGTCTGTAAATAGCTTCGGATACGGCGGAGCAAACGTTCATGCAATACTTGAAAGTGCCCATGACTACTTGCGAGCGCGTGGATTTGACCCTAGTCATTCCACTCGAAGTTCTGCAATAAGCGTCAAGGTAGTCCAGGCAGCCCTTGATCGTGCACTATCCAATGGTCAATCCAGAGCCAGCGTCAACGGTCAGAATGGCCACGTCAACGGATATTCAAATGGTCATACAAATGGAGGTGCACTCACTAATGGTCACGCCAATGGTCACAACCAGAATGGTCTCAGCACAACACAGACCGAAGAATATTCCCATTTCAGTAACGCGAATGGGCGGGCAGCGAACTCAAATGGCCACACGAAGTCACAGAAACGACTCTTTGCGCTTTCAGCTTTCGATCCAAAAGCCGGAGAGGCCTGGGCAGTCAAGCTCGCGGATTATGTTCGTCAAAGGCCAGGTGTTGATGAGGCCAAGTTTCTCGATAGTCTCTCGTTCACTTTGAGTAACAGGAGAACCATTCACTCATGGAAATCTGTCATCACAGCAGAGTCCCGGCAAGATTTAATTTCACAACTCGAGGGATCACAGTTTGTGAACGTTTCTCCGAAAACAAAACTTGGCCTGGTATTCACTGGCCAGGGGGCACAATGGTGCGGGATGGGAAAGGAGCTCATCCATGCATTTCCGAACTTCCGAAAGAGTCTTGAACAGTGCGACTCAGCTCTTTTGCGTCTTGGAGCCTCATTTGGTGTTATAGGTATGTCGCCCTTGATTGCTTTGGCCAGTGTCTGACATAATGCTTTCCAGATGAGCTTCAAAAGGAGTATGAGGATTCACAAATCAACAAAGCACAATATAGTCAGCCTCTTTGCACGGCTTTGCAAATCGCATTGTTGAAATTGCTCGATTCTTGGGGTATTCATCCCGATTCTGTCACTGGACACTCGAGCGGAGAAATTGCGGCAGCTTACTGCGCCGGAGCACTGAGCCTCGAAGATGCCATGCTCGTGGCATACGCACGAGGAAGTGCAACAGTTGAGCTTGCAGAAAAGGGAGTCGACGGTGCTATGGCCGCAGTGAGCATGACACGGGAAGAGCTGAGCCCTCTTCTCTCGAACTTGCAGAGAGGAAAAGCTTCAATAGCATGTTCAAACAGCCCGTCAAGCTTTACCGTTTCTGGAGACAAAGCTGCCGTCGATGAACTGCAGCAAGTGCTTCGAGCGCAAGGCGTCTATAACCGGAGACTTGTGGTTGGGGTGGCTTACCATTCACACCATATGACGCTTGTCGCTGACAGCTATCGAGCCGCGATTGACACCGTTGAAGCGAAAGAAGGAACAAACATCAAGTTCTTCTCCTCTGTCACAGGCAAAATGATGGATAAATCGAAGTTGGGTCCAGAGTACTGGGTCAGCAATCTGGTGAGCGAAGTGAGGTTTGCTCAGTCGCTCCGCCAACTAGCGGTGCACGAGGATCCCAATGGCACAGGACGAGTACAAACCCTGATCGAGGTAGGTCCTCACGCAGCGCTGGCAGGTCCAATCAGGCAGATTCTTCAGGCAGACGACGACCAGACAAACTCATCAATAGAATGTCTGTCCGTTCTCATTCGGAAGAAAGATGCTGTAGCCACAGCACTGAGCGTGGCATCCAGCCTTTTTGTGTCTGGGTATGCGATCCAACTATCAGCCGTGAATATGATCAGCAATTCCAGGATCCCCCCGCTGATAGACCTTCCCTGTTATGCTTGGAATCACACTAAATCATATACTGCTGAGTCACGAATCAGCAAGGCTCACCGTCAGCGTCAGAGCCCTAGAACTGATCTGCTGGGCGTGTTGGATGCCCATTCAAGCACACTGGAGCCACGATGGCGGCAAATCATCCGTTTATCGGAGCTTCCATGGCTGCGAGATCACAGCATCCAGTCTGCCATTGTATACCCAGCGGCCGGGTACATAACGATGGCAATGGAAGCAGCCAAGCAGCGAGTATTCTGGGGAGCACCAAATGCAGAGATTTTGGGATACCAGTTCCGGGAGATTACGATCAGCTCTGCTCTCTTGATCCCAGAGACACCGGGTGAGGTTGAGGTGATCATCACACTCAAAGCATTTGCCGAGAGTGTTCGATCGCCATCGAATCTATGGGATGAGTTTTCTGTTTCTTCTGTGTCAAGTGAAAACCGATGGACAGAACACTGTCGTGGATTGATTGCGGTACAAACTCCTGCAAAGACGACGAATCTCGTAAATGGGCCAGCGCACGAAGAATCCATGACATTCCACAACCAAGATCTGGTCGCAGACTTTGAAACTTCATGCAGGAAACCAGTGGAGACAGCCGCACTCTACTCCAGTCTGAGAGAAGTAGGGATGCAATATGGCCCGTCATTTGCAAACATGCAGCAAGTCCGCTCTGCGCCTGGTCGATGTATCAGCGAGGTTCAGATTCCGAACACGCGGGCCGTCATGCCAATGCAATATGAGAGGACTTCAGTGGTGCACCCGGCCACTCTGGATAGTATTTTCCAGACTTATCTCCCAGCACTGGCAGATCAAATGGGTCATCTGGATCGTCCTGTGGTTCCGGTGGGAATAGAAAACATGTTTATCTCGAATGAGTTCTCCAGACAACCAGGCGATACGCTTGCCTCATACACCTCGACGACTCGCAAGGACAACCGATATTTCTCAGCAGAGATGAAGATCTTTGAGGGTACTTTTGAGACCGGAAAACGACCAGTGATTCATCTGGAGGAAATGACAATGGCAGCTCTGGACCGAGACCCCGCAGATGAGAAGAGCCAACCTCCGTCTCGTGCGTATCGCATGAAGTGGGCTCCCGATGTAGAGCTGTTGAGTGCTTCACAGATCGTGGATGTTGTTCGCCAATCGAGTGTTTGCGAGTTCGCGAGGGATCTCAAACAGGAACTTGTTGGCAGCAGCCAAGGTCTGCCCGAGAACATGCAGGTTGTGGCAGCATACCTTCATCTCCTAGCCCACAAGAACCCTGTTCAGCGGGTTCTTATGACAGGCCCTCAATCTGGGGTGGTAGTGGTGGGCTTATTATCTCTGCTTTCAGGCGAAGATTTCGCTCCGTTCAAGCTTCATTGCACGGATCTAAGTGGTGATGTGCAACAAGGGATAGAAGCGCGATTCCCTGACTGGGTAGATTCAATCACCCATGGGGATATTGAAATGGAGATTGGAGAGCCATACGACGTTGTGGTATCATATAACGCTCCTGGCGCCAAGTCGGATATTTCGCAAACACTGTCGTCAATGTCGCAAATCGTATTGCCCGGGGGCAAATTGATAGTACTTGACGACGGTGTCGGGAAGTCCAATGGTCATTCTGACACCAACGGACATACCCTAGATCTCAAATCGATGTCGGCACTGAATAGCCATATCCAGAAGCTGGAATTCAACAAATGCCAGGTATTCTGCGATGGCGCCGCGGTATTTCAAAAGTCAATGCAGCCAACACGGAGGACCAACGTGACAGAAGTCCTCATCATCGTTCCGGATGAGCTCTCGCCAGACATCGACGTGTTGCATTTGCAGAGTCTCTTCCAAAAGCTTGATATCGCAGCTGATGTGGCACCGTTGAAGATCGCAGACCCCAACCCAACACAATTCTGCATCATGCTCACGGACCTGTCAAAGTCTTCGCTGGCAACGCCCACCGAGCTTGAGTGGGCTTCCATCAAGAGAATATCCCATGGTGGCGCTGGCATTTTATGGATCACTCGCGGAGCTGGAGGAGATACTTGCACAAACCCCGAAGCTTCCCTTGTGCAAGGCTTTGCGCGTACCATTCGTTCTGAGACAGGTGATCGACCAGTCGTGACTCTGGACTTGGATGGGAAATATCCTCTCGGGGCAGATGATACTGCTGAATTCATCGTCTATGCAGTAAATCATCTTCAGCTAAGCACCAGTAGCTGTGATACTATTGAGCAAGAGTTTATTGAACGACGCGGCGCTCTTCATATACCACGACTCATTGAGGACGTCCAAGTCAGCAAGAAGATCCAAACAGACAATGGATCACAGCCGGCTCAGCCAAAACCCTCGCTGCGGCGCCTGGAAGAACTGGGCTCTTCCCGTCTCTTCGTGGAGACGCCTGGTCTTCTAGACACACTACACTTCGCGCCAGACGACCGCACATATCCACCACTGCAGCCCGGGGAAATAGAGCTTGACGTCAAAGCAGCCGGTATCAACTTCAAAGATGTAATGATGGCCATGGGCCAGATCCCAGTCGAAGATCTGGGCTGCGAAAGCAGCGGAGTGATCTCAGCAATAGGCGAAAATGTCAAGAATGACCCTCACAGTCTTCGACCCGGTGATCGGGTTATGTGTCTGAGCACCGGATCATTCTGCACGAAGCTACGAATTGATGCAAGATTAGCAGAACGCATTCCTGATTCCATGGCATTTGACACTGCAGCGGCTATCCCCATCACCCATGTGACAGCGTATCACTCTCTGCATAATATTGCGCGCCTGCGCAAAGGCGAGAAGATTTTGATCCACGCCGCAACGGGCGGCTTGGGCCAGGCACTTGTTGAGATGAGCCAGCTGGTTGGGGCAGAGGTTTTCGTCACAGTCGGAAGTGCAGAGAAGAAGACTTTCATCATTGATCGATTCGGTATACCCGAGCAGCGCATCTTGTATAGCCGGGATACGAGCTTCGCTCAATCTGTGATGTATCAAACAGCCGGGCGTGGCGTGGACGTTATTGTGAACTCACTGGCCGGTGAGGCATTGCGACAGTCTTGGACTTGCATTGCGCCGAATGGACGATTCGTCGAGCTAGGCCAGCGGGATATCACTATCAACACACGATTGGACATGAAGCCTTTTGCCCGTAATGCCTCTTTCACTGCATTCAATTTGGCTTTCACCATGAAGCATGACCCCCAGGCAGCGCGGGATGTCTTGATCAAGGTCTTAGAACTTTTCGCGAATGGTTCATTGCGAGGCCCGGATCCGCTTGAAACATACGCTTTCTCGGATTTGCAGCAAGCTTTCCGTAAAATGCAGACAGGTCGTCACATGGGTAAACTGGTCGCCGTTGCGAATCCAGATGATATGGTCAAGTATGTTGAATCCACCACCGATGGCCCACTACTGCGCCCCGACGCAAGCTACCTGCTAGTCGGCGGCCTCGGTGGTATCGGGCGAGCAACAGCTCTATGGATGGCCTCCCGCGGAGCCAAACATCTCATCTTCCTCAATCGATCAGGTCTGAACGACGCAGCCCAAGATACAGTCTCTGCCCTCCAAGCTGCAGGCTGCACGGCCAGCGTCCTCGCATGCGATGTCGCAGATCCAGCTCAACTCACATCCACCTTGGAGACAGCCAGACAACAATTACCACCCATCCGCGGCGTAATCCAAGGCGCAATGGTTTTGCGTGATTGCATGCTAGACAAAATGTCCCTAGAGGACTACCTAGCCGTCCTACGACCCAAACTCCACGGAACTCGAAACCTGCACACCCACTTACCGGACCTAGATTTCTTCGTCATGGAATCATCCATCAGCGGTATAATCGGCAACACAGCACAAGCCGCCTACGCAGCGGCAAATACATTCCTGGACGCATTCGCACGATACAGACGATCCACCGGGCACCCCGCAAGCACGATCGATATCGGCGCCGTATCGGGTGTCGGGTATTTGGCGCAGAATGAAGATCTGCAGCTCGCCATGCAGAGACAGGGTTTCGAGTTCACTAACGAAGTCGGTATCATGCGACTTCTTGAGTTCGCTATCAGGAATCCGACCCGTGATGTCGAGCATGCTCATATCATTACGGGATTGGGGGCTTGGAATCCGGATACTTCGCTGCAGGCGCTGCGGGCGCCGATGTTTTCGCGATATCGGATGCTTTCTTCTTGTTTTGTGGAGGGGCCACAGCGTGAAGATACGCTGTCTCAGGCGCTGAAGAGGTCGAAGGATGTTGGCGGTGCTGTTGGTGTGATTGTTGCCGCTTTGGTGAATCAGATTGTGGCTCATACTGGGGTACCAGTTGAGAATGTCAGTACAGTCAAGAGCTTGCAGGATTATGGGATTGATTCGCTTGCTGCTGTGGAGCTGAAGAATTGGATTTCGAAGGAGATGGAGAGTGTTGTGCCTATATTTGAGCTGATGTCTGCTGAGTCGCTTGATGTGTTGGCAGCGAAGATCGCGAGCCGGAGCAGGTTGGTTGTGAGCTCAAATGGGGCGTGAAATTGGCTATTTCGATCTAGACATAATTATGTTGCTGTTAGTTGCTAAGATATAAGGTATACCGTTGTAGTGGTCATCGTGACGTTTGGAAAGCCTCGAAGTCATGGAGCAACCTCTTCTTTCGCAACCATAAACCATGCAACCGCCCCTTATGCATCACTCGACCACACAGCCCCTCGACACACAGTCGCCCAGCAGCAATAATCCAGTCATCTTTGGCCTCCCGCCGGAGATGATAGGCGAGATCCTCTCTCACCTTCCAATCGTGTCACAAGCTTGCCTAGTCCTCAGTTGCAAGAGATTCTATCTTCTGTTCAATCAAGTCCTAGCACATCCTACTCTTATATGGCCTTGCACCGACGGGCCAGATAACTTCGATCTTCCAAGCCGAGCTGGAATTCTTAGGACTCTTGAATCCCAGCAGTGGAAATGCTGTGCTGTCTGTGTAAAGTTACATCCGTTGAGTGACTTTGACCAGAATGCCCCTGGATATAATGATCCACGTTGGCGTACCTGCCTATGGCCAGGTCTGATTGTTCTTTGTTCTTGCGTGAATTTCAGATCAAGACGTCTAAGCAACCTTGCTAGCCAAATCATCTGTCAAAATCTTGCTGAACCTATCAATGACTGGCATCAATGTGGATTCTCCAGTCAATGTGGCGCACTGTCATATAGGCTGAATATCTCTTTATCTGTTGATCAGGATGATGGGGTTGTCTTCAATTTCCACTACTTCATTAAAGTGGATCCGATGAATTGTCAACATGTTCAACGCATAATCGAGCTATGTCCCCACATAGATGCGTTCGAGCAAATCATATCAGATCGAGGCTGTGTTCCAGAGTCGATGAATTGCAAGCAATGCGGCATATCCCCCAACACAACGATGTCCGATGATTCAACAGCTTACGACATCCAATTTGTGAGACGTTTCACTCCCCGTCGAGACATCGGGATATCCCGCGGAAAGTTGGATGATCCATATAGGGGTTCCTTTAATTCTTATTATCGTGGTGATACTGTGAGAACCCTATACCGAGGCATATATAGTAGCGCACCGTTGGGGCCGCCACGCAGGGGCGCGCCCTAACAGATTCACTCGGGGGGATCATCACTACTAAGTATTATTGAGCTGAATACCCAATTGCAATAGTAATACCACAGCATTCAAGCCTATATGAACCCCTGTACGGATATGAAGTGGGATTACACCTTGCAAAGGTTTTACACCCTCAATTTGCTAGTGGTTAGGTCCATATTTGACCAACATCTGAATTTAGGCTGCAAAGGTCCACTCATACCGAGAGCACGGGAGATACAAACGATTGATACGATGCGATCTGTAATGGTAATTCCAGTATTAAACTTCCTGTTCGCACAAAATCAGGCTAATCAAGGCATCAATTACAAATTACGCGGTACCGATACTGGATGCTAGTTACTCCCCCAATAGGAATTAATTAGAAAACCCTCTGCAGTCCGTACTTAAGGATGAATAGAGGCCCTTCTAAATATTACCGGTTACTCCCACACTGCACGTTGAAATGTGTGGAGACAGGGCGCTTAAAGCACAGGATTCCCCTGGGCGCGTGCTCCGCAAGTAAAAAGATGTTCCTGGAGAGGACCCATCGAGCTGCAGTGGAGTTGGAATAAGAGAATCGACAATTGAAGAGCGAAGAATGGGGTATAGGAACATGGAGAGGGTAATTGAATCATTCAAAAGGACCAACCATTCAAATTATATCCGAATCAATACAATGAAAATGAAGACAATGAAAGAAGACATTCAGCCCTAAGCTTAAAGGGTTCCCGTGTCTCCACCCGTGTTTCATCCTTTTTTCCCCTTTCTCCGCTGTCACTCTCTTTTCCTTCTATGCTTCTTTGCTTCTTTGCTTATGTGCGTTGCCCTGCTTTGATCCTTGTCTGGGCCCCTTGCTTTGTTCGGGGATTTCTATTCCAGCAGCAACATCACATTCCTTCTCCACTCGTGGATCGTGCCCCCCTGGCTTGGCGAGATCGACACGTTCTGCTTGGCCTACGAGTATTCTCGAACGAATGTCAATGCGCCTTTGAAACACCAGCGCGACATTCCAAATCCCAACGTGTGGCTTGCAGCCCTCGATACCTGTCAGCCTCCTGGCCTCACCCAGTTATGCGTGATTCGCGCGCTTAAGACCGCTCTTACTGTACTCTGTACAACCGTCGCTCTTTACAACCTACACACCTGATTCTGGACACTTCCACACCTGCTTCACCATTCATTTACGACTTGACCCGGCTGGCCCGAGCAAGTCGAATCTCGTGCGCGACCGCAACACTCGCTTGATACCCTACAATTGCTCCTGGCAGGACCAGGTCTACCGACACAATGCTGTGCTCTGGAGATCGTGAGAAGGGAGATGTGGCCATGGAGGAGAAATGGGATTACGTGGTAAGTGGGCGCAATGGTGCGCGACACTTCGATCGGATGAAGGGGAGACTAATGCTGTGATAGAATCTTGACGATTTCAAATCCGAATCCTGCTGGACGCCTTTCTCATACTTCTTCCTATGGGTATTCTTCATCATTTCTTTGGCCGTCTATGGTGTCGATACCTTCACGGCCGTCAATTTGCTGGCATTTTCCCGTTGGTCTGGCAGAGTTGAGCCGGCCATTCCCTTCAACATCTCGCGATGGATTTTCGCCGCTTGCATTATCGCCTCGTTCGTTCTTCTGGCATACCGGTGGTTCCATGCGATTCGTGCCATTCGATCGGGGAGTATCACGCGCAGCTTCTTGGACCCTCTCGCCGTGCGCGTGCAGAGTATCCGTTTTGGCGAGAAGGGCCGTGGATACCGGAGATTCCTGGTGTTTGCCGAATTGACAAAAGATCGCAAGGCTGCAGAATACGTTGCCCTGTATGCCTACTTTTCCTTTCAATGTGAGTACGCCGGTCGCGAAACTTGATACCCGAGTGTGGCTAACCAGCTCTTAGTTTGGATGAACACGATCTTTGCGGATGGACCTCGCCAAGTGATCAACGCAATCACTTTGTACTCGGTGATGCAGATGGACCTGATTCCGGGCGGCAAAAACGCAGCTCACGATGACGGATCTTCCTCTGTCGGCCAATTCTTTAACAATGTTAAGATTCTTGCCGAGGACAACAACCTTCAAGCCGTGGTGCTGTTTGGTATGCTATTCACCCTTATTATCTGGGTGTTGTCGGTGCTCAAATTGATCTCGGCGATCGTGTTATACCTGATCTTCCTATTCCATCATATTCCAGCCGAAGACGGTACATTGTCGAGATATTGTCGTCGCAAGGTTGGCCAACGGCTGAAGCGCATTGTGCACCGCAAGAACAACAAGGCATTGGCAAAGGGACTCAAGTTACAGAATCGAGTACCTACTCAGCCGAGTTTGGCAGCGTTTGACACAAAACCAACCCTGCCTGCGTTTGCTGGTGACAAGGGTCCGGCAGTCGCAACCATCTCGCGCAGCACCACCCAAACCACTCTCCCGCCTTACTCGCGGTCCAATTCAACTGCACCTTCGAGCCATAATCCGACACTGCCCAACTTTGATTTTGAGAAGCCTCCGCTCGCTCGAACGGCGACTTCTTCGTCCGCCGTGTCGGAGTCCGCATCTGCATCTCTGACTGGAAACGCCGCTGGAATGGGCTACAGCCCCATCGACAGTCAACGCCCGACCCTTCCCCCGGTACCTCCCCTGCCTGCGAATGTTCCTCACAGAATGGCTACCCCTCACTCTCGAGCGACTCCTGCGCTGTATTCACACGAGGGAGACTACAACAGCACAGGTGCTGGGTATCGCAACTTAACCGATAGCGGCTCTGACTCGCACTCGCGACCGTACCAAAGCTACACACCGGCCCCTGAATACGGTTCGACTGATGTTGGAAGCTCCGAGGACTATGATGGAGACTACGATTACTTCAACCGTACTCACGAGCCAGCGCATTACGATCCATACGCTTCGAGGGTTACGCCTCACCCCAACCCCCAGTCAGACTACTACCACCAAGACCCGTACTCGGCGCGATCCTACACACCGGCCAGTACAGGGGCAACACCTGCCCCCTATCGCACCGACACACCCGCAAGCTATCGACCTGCGCCTCCATCAGCGTCCGTTCAGCAACCACCTCGAACCTTCACACCTATGACATCTGCGACCCCCGCACCGCAAACAGGCGGTTACACCGCATTCAACCCATCCATGTCCTACCAGTCAGCTCAATCTCACTCTCAGAGACCTCCAGCTCCGGACAGCTACAACCGAGCCCATACTGTATCGCCCTCAGCGATGCACCGCGCACCTCCAGGCCATTCATTCAACCGGGCCAACACCCACCAATATTGATATTCTTATGATCGCAGAGAGCTGGCTCTTTGTGTTTGATGACTGGACCACATGTTTATATCATCACGACTAGCGAGTCTTTCTCGCTCCACATACCCTATTTGCTTTATTTGATATCCCCTTTCGACCCGTTCCAATGACATGAATTGATCTTCACGCTTCTATTTGCCCACTGCATAAACCGTATACTCAACCGTGTAGCTTCAATGAGCCAGTTTGTTCCTTTTGATCAAGGTATGAACAACCTATTTGAATGGATTCTTGTCAAAGTCTCCTGAAATTCCAGAACAATGAGGTTGTAATTTTCCCGTTGTAGTTAAACCTTGCGCAATAATTTATACTTGGTAACCTTGGAACATCTTAACATGGCATTCATTTAGATCCATTGAGCGAATGGTCTCTGAGAGATAGTGGTTTGGATCTGGTATATGCAGCGTCGATCGGCAATGTGCCATGTTTCATGTTCAAGAAATTGACGGCATTGAATCATTGAATGATCCTCGGAGACTTGAACGTAAAATCTTCATACTTAAGTAGAGAGAAGGGAGAAGAGTCGATGAAACTTCGGCCGAACTATTTCCCGGCTCCGATCTTACCGTCAACAGTTGAACTGCCGGTCACTTTGATTAGCAGACTTTCTTGCGAGAGACATGTCTCATATCAAGCATTCGGGAATTGAATGATCCTCGAATGATTTGCAGCTCTTCTAAGCGCTAAGGCAACTATGGCTGCATGGCTGCACGGAAGAACGGCATCGAGACAGCATCGAGACCATTTCCTTCATTGAGAACAGAGCTATACTCGAACGAGCCATGCTCAGCCAAAGGCCAAAAATGAGGTGAAACAAGCGAGATCACGAATATGATGTCCGTTGCACGTTGACGTCGTACTTCAGGGCGCCTCGATCGCTAACCAGGAGATGACGTCGTCTCGGAGACTTCGAAGGCGCATTTATAATCTGGTGGGGTGAATGTTGCCGACACTCCGGAGTATATAACATCCTGGTGATCTCGTTCGGATTGTCTACTCACTCTCACACATTCCAACATGCCAGGTCCCATTGAAAACAAAGCCGCTGCAGGCATCTCCTACTTCTCCCCAGCGCAGATTCCACCCGCCGGGTCCGCCGCAATCCCTCAATCCGACGGCACACAACCACCCAAGCTCTTCCAACCCTTCACCGCACGAGGCCTCACATTCCATAACCGCATCGGTCTCTCCCCTCTCTGTCAGTACAGCGCTCAGGATGGCCACATGACAGATTGGCACCTGGCCCACCTGGGCGGTATCGCGCAACGTGGACCCGGTCTGCTTATCGCCGAAGCCACCGCGGTCCAAGCCAACGGACGGATCACCCCAGAGGACTCCGGCCTCTGGAAAGACTCGCAGATCGAGCCCCTGCGTCGCGTCGTGGAATTCGTCCACTCACAGAGCCAAATCATCGGTGTGCAGCTCGCCCACGCCGGTCGCAAGGCCAGCACCGTGGCGCCCTGGCTCAGCATGGCGGACACAGCGGTCGCGGAGTTCGGCGGCTGGCCCGATAATGTCAAGGGCCCAAGCAATGTGCCGTTCCACGCGAACTTCCCCACTCCCCAGGCATTGACGAAGGAAGAGATTGAAACTTTCAAGAAGGATTGGGTTTCGGCCGTGAAGCGCGCCGTCCAGGCTGGCGTGGACTTCATCGAGATCCACAATGCGCACGGATACCTGCTGATGAGCTTCCTGTCGCCTGCGACTAATGATCGCACCGACGAGTACGGTGGTAGCTTCGAGAACCGTATTAGACTCTCGTTGGAAGTCGCCAAGCTCACGCGCGAGAACGTGCCGGACAACATGCCGATCTTCCTCCGTGTCTCCGCGACCGACTGGTTGGAGGAGTCATTGGCTGACAAGCCCAGCTGGCGCTTGGAGGACACCGTCAAGTTTGCCCAAGTGTTGGCGGAGAGCGGCAACATCGACGTTTTGGATATCAGCAGCGGTGGCAACCACCAACAACAGCACATCCACGCCAAGCCCGCGTTCCAGGCACCATTTGCCGTTGCCGTTAAGAAGGCTGTGGGCGATAAACTCCAGGTTGGCACAGTGGGTATGGTTGGCTCTGCTGAGTTGGCCAACTCTCTGGTCGAGAAAGAGGGCTTGGACTTTGTCCTTGTTGGTCGAGGATTCCAAAAGAACCCTGGCCTTGTCTGGACATGGGCCGAGGAACTTGGTGTCGATATTTCCATGGCCAACCAGATTCGCTGGGGCTTTGCTTCTCGTGGATCTGGCGCCGGCCCTTACCTGCGCAACCGCCCTCGTTCTGATAAAATTTAGATCTCTCATTCCCTAGTATATAGCTTAGAATACATCAATACACGATACAAACGATTTTGACCAACCAACGCCAGTCCATCCACCCCAACTAGATTCAGATAACATCCAACCCAGTAATCCGCCTAAACTCAGCAACAGTATGCTGCCATGTCCTTTCAGCCATCCCTTGCGCTCGAAGCCCAGCCAACAACCCGACAACCTTAGGACCAGCATGCTCCCCATCCCAATGAATACTATAAACACCACTCCCAACTCCCCCATTAATGCCCTCTGCAACACCAACATCCCCCACCAACGAAACCCCCGTACTCACCCCAGCCCTGGGGGGATACTTCGCACTGGTCGCAAAGAAGAGATGTCTCTCCCCAGACTCCCGATTAGGAATATACACCCAACGCCCAATAATCAAAAGAACAAAATTCACAAACCACAACAGAAGTGTATTAGGATCCCGACCGATCCCCGTTTTCACCGTCCCGGGGTAATCATTAACGAAGCTGATTTCTGGAGCTTGTTCGGCAATTGTTTCCAGCGCCATATCAGTCATTGAAACAAGATGTCCGCGCAGCTTAAACATAGACATGTTCCTTCCCTGGAAATCCGAAGTGTCGATATTTCCTTCGTGTCCACCCGCCAGAACACTAATGACACGACGGAGCCTGGACTTTCTAAGGAGAGGAAGGAGATTGGCGATGAATCTGATGCGGGCGTAGTACGCCGTTGCAGCCATGATATGCAGACCCTCCACTGTATCTGTATGCACTTGTCAATATCGGCGGCTTGTCAACTTGAGCGAAACGCACCTTCGCCAGATCTCGTCGTCCCACAACTGAGGAACAACAAATCAACACTCCCCTCCTTCCTTTTAATCTCTCGACAGGCTTCATCAACATTCCGAATAAGACTAACATCCACTTTCATGAAGATGAATTCTCCACCCGGATTCAACTGTCTGCATTCCGCTTCGATGCGGACCGCAGCTTCCTCCGAGCGCCCGATGAAATATACGCGGGGCGAGCGTGTAGATCGAGCGAATTCCTTCAATGTGGCCTCGCCAATGCCATTGGTTGCGCCTACGAAGATGGCGACCAGACCTGAGAGGGAATTGGCGATTTCGGCGTTGGATGACTGGACCTCTGTCAGGGATACCATCTTCCCGATGTTGCTTTGCAAGACGGATGGTAATTTTGCTATTTCCGAGTTGGAAAATTCATGCTTGATGATGGTTATATGTTGTTTTAGTCCGGGCGCATTTTTCGGCCGTTGGTTACTCTGCCCGGACGAAATAGACGGACCTTGTCGAGCGATCTATAGCGAGGCTCTGCGCCAAGGAAATATCATGACGCTGCACGTCGGTGCTCGGATTCCTCCGAATATGCTGTGACCTGGGGGCGGTAGTATAAGGACAGTTCTAAGTGGGTGCCGATTATCGCTCAAAGAGGTATGGGTTGCGAGGTGAGTCCAATCCCGTGCCGCTTAATAAAATCATTAACTCTAGGAAATATAAAAGTATCTGTGGAATTTCACACTGCATTTTCATATGTCATCCCGAGGCACTGGTTAACTGGACACCTTTAAGACTCTCCAACCCCCAGGACTCTTGAACTAGATTGTTATACCTTACTCCACCAAAATCGATCAGCTAACGCCAACGCCAACGCCAACGCCAACGCCAAGTATTTAACCGCTACTCCACAGTGGCCAGGTTCACGAGTGGGGGGAGATCTCACATCAGATTCTCTGGTATAATACAGACTTGAGATGTGAACTGATTTTCTGATCTTGTCACACTCACAAGTTCAGAAATGGGGCGAATCAATGATGCCTTTACTGTGGTCTATATCGGTATCGCTGGTGGGCTATACCTAAGACCCGAGTATGCCATACTCAACTCCAGGCTTCTTTCTATAACCCTCCTCCTCGTCGCAATAATCACGTTCAAGATATTGTATCAATTTTCTCTTTATCCGAAATACTTCACTCCACTGAAGCACATTCAGACACCAAAGGTAGGGATTTCGCATGCCGTTCAAGAATATCATCTCACAATAATTAGGAACGCACTTGGCTGCGGGGCAACACCAAGAGTATCTTTCTGGAAACGCCCTATGCAGAAATCAGAGAATGGATTCACACCATGTCCAACGATGATATCATCCGTTATTATGTTGTCGGAAACTTGGAACGTGTGATGTGCACCAGTCCAAAGGCCCTGGGCGAGTTACTCGTCACTAAAGTGTACGACTTTGAGAAGCCCGAAATCTTTCGGAAGAGTTTCCGCCGTATTGTAGGCGATGGTATCCTCCTTGCCGAGGGTGAAGAGCACAAGGTATGTTTGACCTGTTCCAAATTGCGATCCTCAAAATGATACATGTGCCACGTTTACATGTGGCGTGCGTGTATCATTTGATCTGTACCGAATTGACATGATTGCAGATTCAGCGAAAGAACCTAATGCCAGCTTTCGCCTATCGCCATGTCAAGGACCTATACCAAGTATTCTGGGCGAAGAGCAAAGAAATGGTCAACATGATCCAAGAAGATCTAGACGAACCCAGCAGAAAGACAGGATCTCACACCGATAACACAATCAAAATCGACACATGGGCTAGTCGAACAACATTGGATATAGTCGGCATCGCAGGAATGGATTACGACTTCGATTCTCTACGACACAAAGACAGCGAAGTCAACCGAACCTACCGCCGAATCATGGACCCACCATCAACATCCATGAAGATCCTCTTCGTACTCGGGATGCTGATCGGCAAACCCGAACTTGCCCAGAGCCTCCCAACAGCCCGCAACAAAGAAATCCAAGAAAGCGGCGAAGTAATCCGAAGTGTGGCACGTCAAATGATCCGACACAAGAAAGCAAAGATGGAAGACCCAACAGCCGAAACAGGCATTGATATTATATCCGTGGCATTGAAGAGCGGCACCTTCGACGAAGAAAACCTAGTCGATCAATCCATGACCTTCCTCGGTGCCGGCCACGAAACAACAGCCACAGCCCTCCAATGGGCCATCTACGCACTATGCAAACACCCAGACGTACAAAGCAAACTCAGAGACGAGATCCGCTCCAATCTCCCCTCCATCAACGACAATACACCCATGTCCGCAGCCTCAATCGATAACCTCCCCTACCTAAATGCAGTCTGCAACGAGGTACTGCGCTACTACCCCTCCGTCCCGACAACAGTCCGCAAAGCCGTCCGGGACACAACACTTGGAGGCAAACACATTCCCAAAGACACGACTTTAATTCTATCGCCTCGGATTATCAATCGAATGGAAGAACTCTGGGGCGAAGACGCAGACAAGTTCAATCCTGATCGATTCATGGGACCTGGCAAGGCGAATACAGGAGGTGCAGTGAGTAATTATGCTCTGCTGACTTTCTTGCATGGTCCTCGCAGCTGTATTGGGCAGGGATTTGCTAAAGCCGAGCTTGCTTGTATGGTTGCTGCTATGGTTGGGAGATTCCATATTGAGTTGAAGTTTCCTGATGCCAAGTTGGAATTGAGGGAGGGTGCTACTGTCTGTCCTAGGGATGGGGTTGTTACTTTGATGACCCCATTGGAGGGGTGGTAGTACTTTTTCAAGTCTGGAGGTTCTGGGCCTTGGAATATATTCATGGATGTCATGTTATCTTCTCTTTGGGGCTGATTTTATACCAGATTGATCAGCCCTTTGTGTACATATTTGCTAGAGTCAGGATCCAGTTCAATACCACGCCACTCATTCCTGATGTTTCTCCTTTCGTTGCTTCCTAAATCACTAAACCCATAGTGAAGAATCGAAAACACCTTCACAAAGTCATTGACCGCTCGAAATGTTCGCTTAATCTCCAGTCGGTGTCCGCGGGCTCCGGGTACAATCATTTTATCGGCAGTTATTCTTTAGAACTCCAGCCTAGGCAGCAACCTTCCACTATGTCCTAACACGATACAAGCACTCCATACAGACATATTCACCATAATGCCCCACAATACCTCTCGGTGGCTCATCTTATTAGTCCGTGTACGAAACAAGGGCTCTCAGGGTCCAGCAAGCCCACAGGTAGGCAGCAACGAAACACCTCGCGTATTTCATCTCATATCCTGATCAGATTGATAGTGTCAGGTCTAGATTCTAGACTGGTACTGTAATTACACGATCAGATAAGATTTTCCCTGGAAGCTTGTCGCGCCAACTGCCCATGCTTCGGCTAACCACTGAACCCAGTCAAGACATATGCCCCGGCACTAGTTTCAGATGATTCGTGACTACAGTTAGGCTGCCAATAGAAAGTAGAATAAGTGAAAATCATATGGGGTTTCTGGTATATGGAAAGACACTGATGCATTGACTGCATCTATAGATTGTATGAACATATTGGGATCAATGAATTCGTTGGAGCGTGAGGCATATTATCCAGATCCAGCAATTCCGTGAGCTTTGCTCTATCTAAACAAGTCCTACTTAAGGATGACACCAGTTTGGTGAATCCGTAAATTTGGGGGCTAATTTAGGTCGATGAAAAGTTGATTTTGTATTATCCGCAGATGGTATAGTGTTATAATTTCCCATGGAATTCTCCATCTGATAAAATACCATTGAAACGACATCCACATTAAATATGAAGCTACGGGTATTTAAGCAAACAGTGCTACCCAAATGATTTCCAGGCTCGCACGAAAAATCTCTGCCATATAGCCCATTATCGACATGGCGGTCAACGATCTCCCCTCCAAGCCAACAGAGGTCTCTGAGAACCCGATATCTCTGGACTCTCACCCTGTGGAAGATGACCCAGATAAGCAGGATGGAGTGCGAGTTGCGGAAGCAATCACAGCTTCGTGGTCGCGAAGTTCCCTCATTACAGTCTATGCCTGGTTCGCAACTCTCTTCAGCCTTCAAATTTGATTGGATGGGTCTAACATATTTTGCTGAAACTATAGTATGTGGCTCTTGTATTTTGTGAATGCCCTTCAGTCGAGCTTGACTTCCAACTTGTCGGCGTATATCACGAGCGGTTTCTCAGAGCACTCGCTGCTGACGGTCATCAGTGTTGTGACCAGTGTGATGGGAGCAGCCTGCCTGATGCCCATTGCCAAAGTATTGAATATCTGGGATCGTACCGTCGGCATGGCCATCATGGTTCTGATTGCCATCATGGGACTAATCATGATGGCTAGTTGCACAAACATTGCAACATACTGTGCTGCTCAAGTCAGTCACGGGTGAACTCTGACTCTGTCGTTAGCCACATACTAACTTTTCTAGGCATTTTATACAGTCGGCCTTACTGGTGTCATCTTCTGCGTTGACGTCCTTACTTCTGACACCTCCTCGTTGCGCAATAGAGGTATCGCCTTCGGCTTCACTTCATCACCATCCGTCATCACTGCATTCGCCGGATCCCCCTTATCCAACCAATTTCACAAGACGAACTGGCGATGGGCATACGGAACCATCTGTATCATTCTTCCGATCATCGCTCTTCCTTTGATGGTCACCTGGGAACTGGCTAAGCGGAAGGCAGACAAAGAGGGTCGCCTGCAGTACAAGGCAAAAAACACTCGTACAGCATGGGAGAGCTTCAAATTCTATTTCGTTGAGTTTGATGGTGAGTCGGACTCTAGCGAGGTCTATGCTGACTCTATTCTGTTTGCACACTCAGGCTAATTCAAATCATCATCTAGTCATCGGTATCTTCCTCATGGTCGGTGGTTTAATCCTCTTCCTCGTCTCATTCAACATAGCCGGGAATACAGAAAACCAATGGCGGTCCGCAAAGATTATCTCAATGATGGTGGTCGGCTTTGTTGTCCTCATTGCTTTTGGGGCCTACGAGCGATGGTTCGCAAAGAAGCCATTCGTCCCTGCCCACCTTCTCGTCAATCGGACCGTCATCGGCGCCTGTCTTCTCGATGTCACATACCAGGTGTCATACTACTGCTGGGCAACATACTTCACTTCATTCCTGCAAGTCGTGTACGGAACCAGTCTTACACAAGCGGGCTACATCAGCGCGATTTTCGATTTCATGGACCCAATCTGGCTGATTGGATGTGGCTACCTGATTCGAGTGACCGGGCGCTTCAAATGGTTACTGATGTGTGCAGTCCCACTGTACATCCTCGCCTCTGGATTGATGATCTATTTCCGCTCCCCCGGCCACAGCGTCGGATATATGTGCATGTGTCAGATCTTCCTGGCTGTCGGAGGAGGCACACTGATCCTGATTGAACAGGTTTCTGTTCTGGCCGCTTCGAAGCATGAAGACTATGCGGCTATGTTGGCGTTGCTAAGCACTTTTGGAAATATTGGCGGTGCTGTGGGTAATAGTGTGTCCGGTGCTATCTGGACTAACATTCTCCCTAACAAACTGCGGGAATATTTACCTTCAGAGACCAGGGACTCGTGGTCGGAGATTTACGAGTCTCTTGATCTTCAGCTCAGTTACCCTTTGGGATCTACTACTCGGATTGCTATCCAGGATGCGTATGCTTACACTCAGCGTATCATGCTGATTGCCGCTACTGGTATTATGTGCCTGTCCATCGCGTGGGTACTGATGATGAGAAACATCAAGGTTTCTAAAGAGCAGACTGCCTCGCAGGGCTTGCTTTGAGTCAAAATGAGGGGGGGGGGGGGGGGGGGGGGAGATGGGGTTTATTGGTTCTTCTCATTATCCAAACAAGAACGCGGGCGTGCTTTAAACCATCAATATTAAATACAATTAAATT